TAAGTAGAAAGAGAGAGCCCCGCAACGAAGCCTAAACCCTGCACCCTAAAGCCCCATAAGCCTACAGATTTCACTCTTGTTGTTGAACCTTAAACCCTAAACCCTTAATCCCTAAACCCTTAACCCTAAACCCTAAACCCGAAACCCTAAGCCCCAAAAACTCCAATTGAAACGCTTAACCCTACATCCTAAACCCTTGGCTCTTTCCGCTTGCGCGAAGGTTCAGATCGTGGCGGGGCATTTGTGCCATCGTGCGACGGGCCCTCGGAAGGGGGAAGAAGCTTAGGGATGGAGCACAGGGGTCATTAAGAAAGGCTTGTAGGGTTTTGTGGGGCTTTACGGGGTCTTATCGCGTGAGTTTATAGGAGATGCTCTAGGCGTTTGACACCCTACAGCCATAAACCGAAACCCAAAGATTTAGACCCTAAGCCAGAAACCTTAACTCGACATTCAAAGAGGCCCAAGCCCACCTGTGAGATGGTTGAGTCTCAGAGGATCAAGTCGGGAGGTATGCCAAACGGACGTTGCATGCTGGGCGCTATCTATCGCCACTTTCAGATAGAGCGCGACCGTCTTGGCATGCTTGCCGAGAGCAATCTCCTCAATATCAAGATGGGCGGAGAGGGTGTTACTCACCTTGAGACGTTTAGGGACAAGTATCGCTATGATGCCACCACCATCCCGGCTGAAGACATGCCCAAAGAGAGCACGCTCTTTAATCACCTCATTGATGAATTGGAGAAGATTTCTAAGACATTTACAGGTGGGTAGTTATCAGGTGGGTAGTTTCCCATAAGCCTCCCATACCACTCCTATAAGGCAAAGGGGGTCTTATGGGAGTACTATGGAAGAGGAACTACCTACCTGTAATCATAGGGATCCTCAGGGGTGTAGGGGGAGGGGGGGTAGGGGGCCTTAAGGCCCATAATAAGGACTAATAAGGCCTATTTAAGGAAATATAGTCCCCTACACCCCTCCCCCCTACACCCCTAAGGATCCCTATGATGTAAGGGGCTTCTAAGATTACCATCCTGAAGCTTAAAGTTGAGAAGGCCAGAGTTCCCATCGCCGGACAACGGAATGGCTTTGGAATCGGGTTGATACTGTTGATGGACAAAATCCTGCATGGCCCTAAGGACTCTAAACTATGGGAATTATGGTGTATTCCTTATTCTGGGTGATTTTGTCCATCAACAGTATCGCCATCGATTTGCACCAGCAGCGCGTTCATCGCCAAGCATTTGACAGGTCGTGGCAGGTGAAACCTGAGGCCCGAACCTCAACCTCTCAGCCCACTAAGAAACACGGTGTTGTACTCAGTTTGGTAATTTGGATTTGGACTGAGGGAATCGAGTGGAAGGCTTGAGACTCTGGCTTAATCATGCAATGTCAGCTGCATCTAGCCTGCATGGCTGGTACGTGGTATAGAGTACATGTAACGCTAAAGCGCTTCATAACAAGGAAAAGGAGTCTCCGAAAATAGGGGACCCTAATATGGTACACTAAATAGTAGTATCCTTGTTAAAAGGACCTCCAAAATAAGGTACCCCCAATTTCGGAAACTCCCATTTTCGAAACACCTAGAGCAGTAGGTTTTTTGGATCGAAAGGCAGGTTTGCATGGTTTGCCCATCAGGAGAGTCAGCGAGGTTCCAGGTTCTTTGGGCGAAGGCTCCAATTCCTGGGGTTCAGGGCTTGGGGTTCCCAGAGAGCCCAATACCCCTTAATTAAGGATTTTGGCTTAACTCAGAATATGAAGCCTATATAATTTGAGCCATATTCCGCAATTATGGGGTATTGGGCTCTCTGGGTTTTGATGGGGACCCTTAAGGGTTCCTTGAAGGTGCTTCCAGGAGTCCACTTTCGAAAGGCCTTTATATGGTTCAGACCGTTCAAGGTTTCAGAGTTTAGAAGGGTATTTGGGGGTTCTGAGTTGGCACAGGTCTTGAGAAGTTTGAGGTTTATAAGGCTTTACGCTCAAGGACTCGTCCTTACGGGGAGGTATGTAGAGATTTCTAAGCCTTGCGAGTTTGGAGTTCAGGATTAGGGTTTCTCAGGGTTGCAGATACTGAGGACACCGCTGTGTAGGGCCTGCGGTAACCATTCTATATACCCAGAGAGCCCAATGCCCCTTAATTAAGGAATATGACTTAAACCATAGGGCTTCATATTATGATGTAAGCTATATTCCTTAATTAAGGGGTATTGGGTTCTCTGTATATTCCCCCGCTGCCTTTGTATGTGTGGTTTTAGTCTTTTGAAAGCCTTACGTGAGGCCGGGGGCCTTTCAACTACCCACCTACAGTACTTGGTTTTCGACATTTAGGTGTAGTACACCTAGGTGCCTTAAGTACGTAATTATTTTTGCGCCGGTTCTGGGGATTGTGTGTCTTTGTGCAGACCGAGTTCAACCCCCCTCCTTTAAGGCCCTTAGACAATGCGGTTGCCATGACGTGGTTTTCAACATTACTGTCGATAATAATGCTACTGGTATTCCCAGCATTCTCAATGCAGAATCCTCCGCAGTAGGCTGGCATGGTATGTGGTGAGCCAGTCGAGCCTGGGTCAACCCTACACCCTGACAGATCATGATTCTAGGGTTTAGGGTTTGTCATCTCGAGATAGTCATATACTCAAAGTTTGGACCCTAAACCCTAAACCCGAAACCCTAAACCCTAGACAACTATTGCTTGGAGGTTCATGGGTAGTTATAAGTGGGGTCATAAGTCCCCTAAAATGGGCTATAATTACGGTTACCCTAATTATAACCCTACTTATAACTACCCATGAACCTCCAAGTAAGGCCCCTATATTCAACGATTCAGGACCGACCTCCCACACCGTCCCCGTGATGCGGCCATGCTCACGGAACACTACGTCGAGGTGCTGACCTGCTGCACCCCTTAGGGTTGAGGGTTTAGGGTTTAGGGCCCCAAGGAAACCCACGAATCTTTAATAGAACAATCTTCGAGGATCCTGACACTTAGTAGCTGAGTAGGTAAGCTTTAACCTTTTGGGGTTTATATAGTCCTGCTATAAATGAGAAGGCTAACCTGTGTTGGGCCAGGGTACTCAGCATCTAAGAACAAATTTCGGGTATGCTTCTTAACAATTGTGTTTGGGGGGGGTTTTCTGGGGATACCCGAAGGCCCCTTTAGTGTCTAGGTTCCTGAGTAGTACCCTTTTGCCCTTTTTAGTTTGCGGTTTCCTTTTTAAAGCTCAGTATTAGGAAAATTGAAGAGTTGGAACGGGGTAACCTCCTTATTGAGGAACTTAGAGTTACAACCTACTCAGGCGTTGTGTTTTACGAGCTTTTTGAGAGTTGACCTGACGGTTTGGGGCGCTGGGCTTAGGGTTTAGGGGCAGTCGTAATTGTACCTACAATCCGCTGAGAGGGCTTTCATGGCCGTTGTGTTCACTGCAAGCTCGGTTTGGGTTTGGGGTTTAGGGTTCAGGGCTTAGGGCCTCGAGATTCATGATTCATACCCAGAGAGCCTGATACCCCTTGATTAGGGAATACGGCTTACTTTTAATATTATGATTTATGCTATATTCCTTACTTCCCTCATAGAATCCCTCTAGATCCTTTTAAGGAACCCTTTAAGCAACCCCTTGGCCTTAAGCTATGTTCCTTAACTAAGCATATTCCTTGATTCCCTTTTAGAACCCCAAAAGATCCCTTTAAGGAACCCTTTAAGGCTTTAAGGAACCCATCTTCCTTAATTAAGGGGGTACTGGGCTCTCTGGGTGCTTTGTGTTTGGAAGCTTGGGGTTTCGAGGTTGGGGTCGAGGACTGTAGGTTCAGGGTTCATCCCAGAGAACCCTTAATTAAGGAATGTTTAGGGTTCCTTTAAGGGATCTATAAGGGATCTATAGGCTTAGGGTTTAGGGGATTCTAATACCCCTTAATTAAGGAATATAGCTTAGGCTTAAATCATAATATGAAGCCCTATATCATGTAAGGCATATCCCTTAATTAAGGGGTATTGGGCTCTCTGGGGTGGTCTCGAGTTTGCTTGGAGGCTCGCAGGACTTAGCAAGTAGTCATTTTATAGGTTTGTAGGGTTTAGGGTTTAGGGTAAGTCATTTTTGGAGCTATAAGAACCATAACTCCAACTAGGATCCCTATGAAGGTACTTTTAACCCTATATGATGACTGCTTACTACGGTCGATGATATAAATCCTGCATTACCCATAGTCAGGAATACACCATAGTTCCTATGGTTTAGACTTTATGTAGTAACTACTTACTAAGTCCCCCGACCCTCCAAGTAGAGGTGCCATCACTGGTACTCCTAGCTGCAGGCCTTCGGGTATTGTTAGGGACCCCAAAAGGACATAAACATGAGCATTTTGCAGGGATATCCCTACCTTATTGGGCTTCATTCTAAGGGGGTTTATATGGGATATCCCTATCCTTCTTTTTGCTTCCCCATTCTGGGCTTTAGGGCTTAAGGTTTGGGGGTTAGGGTTTATGGTTTGGCCTCAGGGCTTATATAAGGATTATTGTTGTCGGGCTTACAGCATTACTACTTCTGAAATAGAGGGCCTGAGTGATTGGAATAAGGGTTTTTTGGGATATGGCAAATGATGCTTATGGGTTTAGGGTTTAGGATCTTAGCAGTTCCGGATTTAGGTGTTTAGGAGTTTAGGGTTTGCGGGAAGCACTTGAAAAATCGCCGGCTCAAGTTGTGGTTCATGGCAACCCCCAGAGACCCCCAGAGCCAAACTCCTGCAGTCTTTGGGATGATATCTCTAGGGTTTAAGGTGCCCGCAACCGCCCCAGAAAAAGCCCGTTTATTCATGGAAGCGCATTCCTTGTTCGGACCCTGGCCGCAACCTAGACTAGATCCTTTGATAGTGTCGTTCGGCTGTTTGGGTAATTTGATCCCGACCCTCACCCCACCCATAACCCCTCAACCCCGAATACCAAGCTGGCGATCCCCAGAAAAGACGACTTTTCCTCGAGCTTCCCCGCAGAAGTGCGGAGCTGTGGAGCCATGGGGGTGGCATGTTGCACTATGAAGGACGGCGCTAAAGGATGTTAATGGTTCAGGGTTCACCGGGCTTCGGAATAAGGGTTTCGGGTTGAGGGTTCCGGGTGTTCGGGCTTTGGGTTTCAAGATCTGCTTGACAGTATCCCCTTTCAGTTTAATCATGCCCAAAACCCTTATTGTTAAGGTAGTTCGGTAAACCCCCTAAACCCTAAACCTTGAACCCGAAACCCTAAAGCCTAAACCCTGAGCCATGAACCCTAAACCCTACTAAACCCTATACCCTACTTCTCTGGAACCCTGAACTTTCGAGCTGTGGTTTTCGTGCGCAGAAATCCGCTCGCTACTGCTGCCCAGAGGTTTCCAAATTCCGTGAGCCCTGAACCCTAAACCCTAAAGCCTAAACCCTGCACCCTGAATCCTAGACCCTAAGGAAGAGTCGTATGAAATTTCACTTCAGACAAAGGATGGAGGAGTCTCTTTGGATACATGAGCGCAGTGCCCCAAGAAGCAGAACGTAGATGTAGAGCCCGAAAGCCCGGAGCCCTGAACCCCGAAGCCCGCGCTCTGAGCCCTGCGCTCGCTAGGCTGTTGGGGTTTAAGTTTAGGCTCAGGGGAGCTTAAACCTGCCTTTTCCCCAACCCCTAAACCCCAAACCCTAAATTCCCCAACCCCGAAACCCTATACTGCAAGCTGTAGGAGCAGCTGGAGGTGTTGGGTGTCTCGGCGAGTTAGGGCCCATAGATTACAGGATTTGGGTTCGCGGTCCTGGGTTGAGGAGCTATAAAGCTTGAGTTTACAGTGTGCTTGGAAGTGTGAGGCATGTAGAACCAACTTAAGCTGTAGGTTGATCCAGTGTTAAAAAGTATGACGCTGCACGCAAGTTAATAGAGGGGTCTCTGAAGAATTGTCAATAGCACCAAAGTCCTATTCTAATTACTGCTGGGCACCCTCTTCCGGAGGGGTGCTGGCCGGAGTTTTGGCCTTCACCCACCACTCAGAGGGTACACTGGTACGGGACCTGATTGCAGGTGGGTGGCGAAGCTCTTGCCATTTCACCTTTGTTACAGGAAAGCGGTGGGGAGTGAGTGGGTTCCGGGAGCACACGGGCCGCGATACGCACTTAGTATCTGCAGAGGGATCTGTAGAGAAGCGTGCTTGCCATTTGGCTCGCGGCTGCGCTCAGCCCGACGCAGAGGGACGTTGTTTGCGTGGCCTAGTACCTCGGAGGGGGACCTTCAAGGGAAGAGCCTGATCGCACGGGTATCCGCGAGGATGGCACGCTGTCTTGCCCTTATGCCGGCTTGCCGGTGGCGGGCCTGCCTAGTTGCTACATCGTGCGATTGTTGGCATGCCCTCTTGCCAAACTGGGCCGTCTTTGCTGACCTCATAACGTTGTTTCTGGGGTTGGGGCGTTCGCCAGCGGGAACTCCAAGTGCAGGGGCAATGACGCTTGCGGAGCCCCCTGAGAAGCCGGGAGGGAACGGCGCCTTAGGCATGGCTGCTGCGCGCACCACCTCGTGCAGCTAGTCGCTCGCTCACTCACTCACTCACTCACTAATTACTGCTGGGCCTCGATACTGAGTTGCTAGGGGGTTTTGGGTCTGACTACAGTCTCCATTGTAGTTCCTTTTGAGGGTTACCTTATAGGATCCTAGTTGTATATTTTGGTTAAACCAAAAAATGGAAGTGCAATGGAGACTATAGGTAGGGTCTTCATGAAGTTTTGTATATCGTGGCACGGATCCTTTGCGCAACATGGTGAACAGTTCACAACTGCATCCCCGCGCACGGCATACTGCAGCGGTCGTTCGTGAGGCGTTGCCAGACACCCGCGCCACTGCCCTCTACCTCAAACCACGGATGCAATTGACGAAAACAAGCCCACACTATCTCTAACCAGCGCCAAACAAGATTACACTCCCCAATAGAAGCTGCAAAAAGCCGGTTTGGGAGTTTAGGGTTGAGGTTTTAGTAGCCTTTAGGCTTTGTAGAACCATTGTAGAAACCCTAAACTGTAAACATTCTAAACCCTGAACCCCAAACCCAAACCCAAAAACAACTTGAACGCCCCTCATGTCCAAGGCGCCGAGTCTGCCGCCGTACTCTCCGAGTCCTTGGCGTTGGGTACGCCGGACTGCCGAAGATGTCAAACATAGGGGTTTAGGGTTTAGGGTTTACTAGAGTTTAAAGGGTTTTGTGTTTTCTAGGGTTTATGGGCTTATGGGTTTAGGGCCTGCAGTCGAGGTTAGTGATGACTTTGAGGTTCATGGGTTGTTGTAAGTAGGAGTAGACGGAGGATAACTATAGCTAAAACCTATACAAGGGACTTGTAACCCTTGTAACCCCACTGCTAAGTACCCATGAACCTCAAGTAAGGCCCCTATATAATGCAGCATCCATTCGTCAGGAGCCACAGCTGCCACCCGGTGAACGCTTTACTGCCTCTTAGGTGGCATTTAATGGAGGGTTGAAGGACTTGAGTGGCCAGTCGAAACAATGCCGCTTAGGGTTCCTACATACAATATACAATCAAGACCCCAAGACCACGTGCAACTTACTCAGACCTGCAAATTAAATTTCAGGATTCTTGGCTCGAGGTGAGGCTGTAAAGCACCGATTAACCGGCGTATCAGCAGCTAACGCACTCCCGGCAATAAAAGTCATGGAGCGTTGTCGTGTTCGAACATGCCTGAGTCCAAATCACCCTCAACCCGCCCTTAACCTTACCTAAACCCTGAACCCTCGACCCTAAACCCTAAACCCGAAACCCTAAACCCTAAAACCCTAAACCCTAAACCCTTAACGCTAAACCCTAAAACCCTAAACCCTAAACCCTTAACCCTAAACCCTGAACAACAAACTTTAGATCTCTGCCACCACAAGGCTCTAACGTCTCAAATGCAGATACCGATGCCCTCAAATCAACCGTGAACGCGAAAGCCCGCTAGCCCTGTAGTAGAACCCGTTTAGAAACTGCTGAAAGGCTTAAGAGCAAGAGAGCCCCATACCCCTTAACAGAGGAATATAGCTTAAATCATAATATGAAGTCCGACATAATTTAAGCCATATTCCTGAATTCCCTCATAGAGCCCCTATAGATCTCTTTAAGGAGCCCTTTAAAGAACCCTTATTCCTTAATTTAGGGGATATTGAGCCCTCTGGGGAGCCTTAGGAGCCGAAGCTTCAGTGCCCGAATCCCGAAAAGGCTGCCCAGAAGGCCTAATACCCCTTAACTAACTAGGATGCCCAGTAGTACCCTTATTCCTTTTTTGTAGTCCTAGGTTCCTTATAAAGTTACCCAATACCAAAAAGAGAGGCCTTTTTATTCTTAGGTTACTGGGTATCCTAGTTAAGGAATAAGGGTTCCTTAAAGGGCTCCTTAAAGGGATCTACAGGGGTTCTATGAGTGATTTTTGGCAAGCTTTTCAGGGCGGAGGGCTTTCAAAAAATCCCAACTAAAACTGGGTTTGAGCACCCTATTCTAATTACAGTAGAAGCCAGAAAGTTGGAACATGGCTTTAGGAGGAGTAGTGCTAGGATCCCTTATACTTCTCAGGGCGGAGGGGTCCAAAATCCCAACTAAACTGGGTTTCGGCACCCTCTTCTAGTTATTGAGGCCCTTATATTCGGCCAAGAAGCCATGAAAACACTTGTGGAGCACTTTAAACCCAAATGATGTTTCCTGACCTAAACCAGAAAATCCTGAACGTCCTAGGTAGATGTCCCCCGAGAACAGCCTCCCAGAACCCTGAGCACTCTGCGAATAAGCCCAATAGACATGAAAGATGCTCTAAGATACCCAAGACTAAAGGACGTGATCTTTGGGATTTCTACCTGTTGAGGCCCATATACTACATCCTTATAGGAACCCTTATAGACCTCTTTAACAGATCCGCTAAACCCCTGTATATATATATATATATATATATTATAGACAGCTTTTTTCGAACTTTACGAAGCTTTCAACGATCGGGTCGTTTAAGAACCCCTAAACCCTATAACCCCTAAATCCTAAACGGTCCCACGCTCTAAACCCTACGCTCCCAGAACCCTGGAGGGAACCTGGGGATCCGCAGCTTGAAGCCTTGAGGTATCGACTTGGGGGTACTTAGAAATGGTTTTTAATTTGTGGTTATTATAATCCCTAAGAAGCAGCTAAGATTAAAGCTCTTGCTAGGGTTCTAAGTTGAGTATAGTATCGACTTGGGGTAATATGAAGACCCTACAGTAGAAGCCAGAATTTTGGAACATCATTGCCCTCATGCCCTTAAGGTAAAGTAGAGGGAATCCCAGAACTCTTCATCCTAAATTTATGTTCCAACTTTCCGGGGTTCACTATACTGTAAGAACACCGGGGACTGTTGAAATCGACACCTGGCGTAAGCCTTCAGGTCATGATGTTTGGGATGACCGGGTCGGGCAAGAGTGCTCTTGGAAACCTCTTGGCAGGTGGACTCCCTGGGCATAGGGTGGCCCAGAGAGCCCAATACCCCTTAATGAAGGAATATAGCCTAAATCATAATATGAAGCCCTATATAATTTGAGCCATATTCCTTAATTCCCCTATAGAACCCTATAGATCCCTTTAAGGAGCCCTTTAAGGAACCCTATTTAATTAAGTGGTGTTGTTTCGGGTCTAGAGCCAAGGTTGAGGGCTTAGGGTTCAGGGCGTAGTATACGGCCTTACAGCGATACTGTTTTGGTGGGTTCCCTCTATAACTACAGCATAATGGGCCCCAAAGCCCTATTCTAGTTATTAAGAGCCAGGGCTGAGAGCCTAGGGTGCTTGAGCAAAAATTAGAATACTTTGATTTTAGGGTTTAGGGTTTAGGGTTTGTGTATACAGGTAAACAGGAACTCGAAGGAATACTATCCTACTGTTTAAGGCCCCTATATTTACAGGCCTCAGTCTTGCGATGTTCTGTCCTTTAATAGGCTTCTGCGGGAGTTCCATTGAGCTGGTTGGGGTTTTGCAAAGTCTTGCAGGGTTGCGTGGAAGGTTTTGCCATCGAGCTGCGGAGGGCCGGCTCAGGGTCTTTAGATTTTAGGCTTTAGGATTTAGGGCACTTAGTTTCTGGGGTTCGGCGTGGGGCACAAATGTTCGGGGTCTGAGGTGGCTTGGACACTTTCGGATTCTCGGGTCGCTTCGTGTAGAGAATCCGATTTAAAAGAAAGCAGAATACACCCGCGCACATACAGAGTTTAGGCTTACAGGTCGAGGGTTCAAGGATTCAGGGTTTATCTCGCAAACCCTGATTGGTCCCTTCGATCCGAGTTTCCGAACCTCTTCTGGCTGTCCTACGACCCAGCCCACCAGATCCGCATTGCGTTTCAAGACCCACTGCACGCTGTCCCAGACTTCAACGAGCAATGGCAGCAGTTGTTCGCTGGCCGACATGCTCTGATACCCGACATAAAGAACTCGGAAGTTTGGAAAAGCCGGCTGCTGGCCATGCAGCTTGCAGTCCTTGACAAGCATGGGTCTCAAGCTGGTCTTCAGAAGACAATGAGAGCTTTTTCATTCGCACAGCCACGATTTGACTCCACGGCGACGCTCATGATGAAGTACTGTTTGCTTGTGCGTGCCATTGCCCCTAAAGCCCTAAAACCCTAAACAGCAAACCCCCAAACCCTAAACCCCTAAACCCCCAAAACCCTAAACCCTCGAGGGGATGCAACTCGAGCAGACACCTAAAAGGCCCTCAAGATAAAGTTTAGGGGTTTAGGGGTTTAGGGTTTAGGTGTAGGAAACAATAAACCTAAACTCCAAAACTCAACAACCAAAGCAGCTGGTCGACTTTACCCGACCACCACAAGCCGACAGCCTCCTCTGGAGCCCTGTGACACGAGGATTCGGTTCAGGGTTCAGGGTTTATAGGGCTAGGGTGTTCAGGGTTCAGGGTCTGGGGTTCAGGGTTTATAGGGCTAGGGCGTTTAGGGTTTAGAGCTTAGGGTTTGGGGTTTGGAGTTTAGGTTTAGGGTTTAGAGTTTATTGGGTTTAGGGTCCAGGCGCGGCTGTCAAACATCATGGGAGGCGTGCTTCACATCGAAGATGTCATCCTAACTGTTCCCGATACGCGCAGATGACCGACCAAGGCCATGAGAGCCGATTTGCTTGTGCTGGCTGAGCCGCGGACGGTAACCCTGAACCCAAAACCGCAAGCCCCCAAGCGTAGGCTTCACGGCTTGGGGGGTTTAGGCGTTTAGGGTTTTAGGCTTCACCGAAACCCGTAACCCTACCTCCCAAGCTCTAAGTAAACCCTAAGACTTTAGCGTTCGTTGCTCAGCTGGCAGGCTACGATCATTTCCTCTCCGGGGACGACACGGCACCTTGGCAGGACGACAGGGTGCGGAACCCTTATGGTCCCCCAGAATACGAGCATAATCTTAGTAGCTGAGTGGATACACTTTACACTGTTTGGGAAAATATTACCCACTATAAAACTGAAAGTGCACGTTGTTTGGGGCTTAGGAACTCAGCAACTAAGGCTGAGCCCTTTGGCCTGAACGACCACTCTATAACCCGATAAGCCAGCAGAGGTCCCTTATCAAACCCATTGTTGGGCACTGTACTTGTGATAAGCGGTGTTGTACGTCCCCGAAAATAGGTTAAAACAGAGTTATCCTACTTAAAACCCTACGTATAACTGTCCATGAACCTGCAAGTAGCACCCGTCCCTACAAAGCCCGACGTCCTGCACCGTGCTCTCGAGCAGATGGTGCGCTGAGGCTTCCGTTACCAACACGCGGTCACTTGTCTGAGATTGTTGTCGGGGGGTTTCGGTGACGTTTATAGTGCTTGAAAGGGTTTTGAACGACTTTCCTTAAAGGGGTTGTGATAGTGTTTTTTAACAAAGGCTTTGTTGGATTTGTTGGGAAAGGTTTGATGGGGCCTTTATTGTTGACGTCAGCTATTTTGGGTCCAAGGGTGAGGGAGGGTTGTTCTGTTCCGGGTTCAGTAGTTCCGGAAGTCAGCAGTGAGTATAATCAGATCTTGAATGGCAAGCTGAAGACTCTGTCGTGTTTCAAGACGCATCGAATGAAGATGCCCTCACCAAGGTGCCTTGGAGAAATGGTTCGTCATGTCCACCGACACTCCGAACAATCAACCCCCAACCTTGAACTATAAACCAAAACCCCAAACCCGAATTCCTGCTAGTCCTACTATTGCCGTGTGAAGATCCAGTAAGACTCTCTTGCTATACTTCGTAGATAACTTTCCTTCAGACCCTGCTGTAACAGAACAGGCTTGCAGCCATGCAGCACTACGGTCGTTTCGCCACAGCCATCAGAGCCACTGTACTTGGAGGATCGGGGACCTAGTAAGTAGTTATTTTACAGAGTTGTAAGTCCATAACACCAATTAGGTCCCTATTCAGGCATTTACATCTCTATATAACCCTACACCCTAAACCCTGAGCCCAACAACTACTTACGAAGTCCCCCGGCGGCCCTCCAAGTAAGCCTTGCAGACCCAGACCTCCGGGCGGATCTAGAAACTAGATCCCCTAATTTGGGGCCTTATACTATTAAGGGTACTTTATAGGAACCCCCCCATTAAGGGATCTACCTTTTGGATCCTCCCCTAAGCCCTAAACCCTAAACCCTAAAACCATATAGATCCCTTAAAGGGGCCCTTACAGGAACCCTTAAAGGAACCCCCATTAAGGGATCTACATTTTGGATCCTCCAAAAGGGAGTCTGCCGAAAACTCCTTGCGGAGGTCCGTGCTGAAGTACGAATCTCCCGACAGGTCGCTAGTGGTGTCGCTTGGCTCGTTGAGGGCCTAGGGCCTTTAGACCACATAGGGTTTAGGGTTTAGGGTTTACGGTTCAGGGTTTAGGGTTTACGGTAGGGGTTAGGGTTCAGCGTTTAGGGTAGGGTTTAGAGTTTAGGGTTTAGGGGCCCGACATTTTCCTTAAGAATTAGAGTAGGTTTCCTTTAAAGGGTTCTAGAAGGCTTACTATAAGGGCTACGATAGGGTTACTATGATATAGAGCCCTTAGAGCTTGTGAGGCGCAAAATGGGGTCTTTAAGGTTAGAGTATACAGGGTTTAGGTCTTTAGAGAACTAGACAAGGCCCACTATAGGGCAGTTCTAGTTTGAGTTTATGACTTTGTTGTGAACTTGGTGCTAAACGGATTTTTGCGGGTGCTGTATGGGTTTTGCCTGCGGGGTGTAGGTATTTGGAGGATCAGGGGCCTCAGCTGGTAATGGTACAGGGGTTTGAACAGGGGCTGTAAGCAGATAGAAGTATAATTGCGTGCTAGCGTTCTGAGCCTCCTGACCCTTTCAGAAAGAAACAGGGGTTGTGAGCTTTAGGTCTTGAGGATTTGGTGTATTGCTGGTCTGGAGGTTCTTCAGCGATTGTCGGCTTTAAGGCGTCGGATCCCGAAATCCAAAACCTCTAAAACGGAAAGAACGAACCCCCCAAATCCTTCACCGCAAGCCTTGAACCTGGACCACTGACAAACCCAGGGGTCCATATACACTGCCACTATGGATTGGTCCCGAAAGACCATCTTCATGATGGTTTTGGGGACCTAATTCCACAAAGGTAGTGTCTATGGACTCTCTGGGTGATACGGTTGATGATATCCGTCCTGCCTTACCTTAGGGGCCCTAACACTATGGGAAGTATGGTATATTCCTTGTAACTTTTTTATGGGTAATGCAGGACTTATATCATCAACCGTATACCTTAACTTAGAACCTGCGGGTCCCAAAGTCCCAAACCTTAAGGTTTAGGGTTTAGGGTTTAGAGTTTAGGGTTTAGGGCTTAGGGTTTAGAGTTTAGGGTTTTGGGGTTTAGGGCTTAGGGTTTAGAGTTTAGGGTTTTAGGGTTTAAAGTTAAGGGTTTAGGTTTTAGGGCCCGAGATTAAGGACACATGGTGCTGGGACTCCTTATACATGACTCTTAAGGATTGAGGCTATTGGCTTTCCAACTTTTGGGCTTCTACTATAAGATTTTGGGCAGCAGCCATAAACCTTAAACCCTGAAGCCTTAACGCCTGAAACCCCTCTAAACCGTCATCCCTAAACCCTGAACCTGCAACCCTAAGCCATGAAAGCCCATGCTATGAAACCCGAAGTGTTGAAACTCGAAACCCTGAAATTCTGGGAAGCAAGGCTCGATACAATTGGCCTCGGAGACACAGAGCTGGACCAGGCCTCTCCCCGAGCCGGGTTCCTTTAAAGGGTTCCTGTAGAGGCTTCTATAAGGGCCACCGAGAAGTATAAGGGTACTCTGATATAGAGCCCAAGCAACCCGCCGTTCAGGGTTTGGGGTTTCGGGGTTTTAGGGGTGGGGCTTTATCAATGAGAATAGGGTTTTAGGGCTTCCTTATCATCACTAGCTTAACCCCAAATGACCTACCTTTTTAAGGACTTATTCCAAGAAATCATATTAGGGAACCCTAAAAAGGTAGGTTCCTTACAGTTATAGTATAATGGACCCCCAAACCTTCTTGGGTCGGACGGCCGATGGCCCCAAGATGTCTGTTCTCAGCCAAAGGACTCGACAGTTTCGAGGTCGAGCCTTGAACGGAAACCGTCCTGGGCTTTTGCTTTGGGTTTGGGGTTTAGGGTTTAGCGTTTAAGGATGACAGGTTGCTCTAGGGGCCTTAATTAATAGTTAGAACAAGGTTGTGAGGTATATTATACTGTATTTATCATAAGGAAAGACACCAAAAAACCTAGGCCAATTCTTGAGCCCTAAACCCTAAACCCTAAACCCTAAATCCTAAACCCTGAACCCTAAACCCTAAACCCTAAACCCTAAACCCTAAACCCTAAACCCCGTACATTATGGTTTCCCTCTGCAGCTGGGCGATCTGGTGCTGCCCTGCCCTCAAGTCAAGGCTGCTCTTGCATGTACCTGGGGTAGTTATAAGTAGAGTTATAAGGGTTCCTTTAAAGGGTCCCTTTAAAGGGATCTATAGGGAATCTATAAGGGTATAGGGTTTAGGATCTACTTGGATGTACATGGAGTTATAAGTAGGATAACTGTAGTTATAACCAATATTAGGGGACTTATAACACCACTTATAACTACCCATGAACCTCCAAGCTGTATTGTCACGCTTGTCCATGCAAACCCTTTGACCGAGCGAGGCTTCAGAGCCGTAGGCATTTTTTTGCGGCATCCGATTCCGATTTATTGGTTGAGCTAGTTCGTACATAGCCCACATTGTACATCCGTGAACAAACTTTGCCCTAGACCCTAAACCCTAACCCTAAACCCTAAACCCTAAACCCTAACCCTAAGCCAAAAGCCCTAAACCGTGACTCTTTCTGTCTCCTGAAACCACAAGCTGCACATCCGCGAGGACAAGGTGGTTGCGAGCATCCGCGACGCAGCGGCTCTCTCGGCATAGGAGGGCTTTGGATCTTCTTCTTGATAGCCGGCATCTACAACAGCTGTCAGGAGGAGTTTGTAAGGATTGTGGGAGGTCTTTCAGGGTTGCCTGAAGGGGGGCTATGAGGTTGTACGGGGTTTGTGGTTTGGGGTTTAGTGCCTGGGCATGGGATTCAGATCTTAGAGAGGGTTAAGCAAAGTGTGCCTGGGCGTGGGATTCAGACTCTAGGAAGCTAGTCAGTCAGAATCAACAGCCCGACTACTTACACGATCGTGTGACTTCGGAATGAAGTTATGAAGAGGGTTAAGCAAAGTGTGCCTGGGCTTTGGGATTCAGATTTTAGGAAGCTAGGCAGTAAGAACCGACTACTTACACGATCATGTGACTTCGGAATGAAGTCATGAAGGGGCATATACTTTCTTTACCCGCAAGTACGAGGTCCAAAAAGGGCAAGTCACTGCATCGAACGAGGCATCGATGCAGCTGTGCATTGTGAGCTGCACAGGGGTAACTTAGTATACAGCTGAGTGGATACACTTTGCACTTTCTGGGATAATATTACCCACTCTAAAACTGAAATTATACTCTTTTGGGGGGGCTTATGAACTCAGCAACTAAGGCAAGGTCTTGATAGTTCAACTTTAACCCATTTCAAGCGGGGGGGCCCTTCAGTCTTAAACCCTGGACCCTACACCTACTATTTGCTTAAGAACCCCCAAAAAATAAAAAATATATTCCTTATGGGGGTAATATAGGGATTATTATTTTTTATTTTTTTGGGGTTTCTTAAGCAAATAGTAGACACCCTAAATCCGAAAGACGTTGAAGGTGGAACGACGCTCAAAATTCAAGGAATCAGCTATCCAGCTGATGTCTGCGGCCAGCGAGGCCTGGAGCGGCATAGCCTGGAAAATTCCCGGCTTGACCCCTAACACGGCCGCGGCGGCACTGCCGGAGATGTGCTTAATCATCTACAGCTGAGAAGGGGCCAGACATTCTCCAGCTGCCGCTCTCTGAGGCCCTACGAAAAGTCATGGAAACAGAAATCGATCAATTGATCACCCTAAACCCTAAACCCTAAACCCTAAGATAAATTGATCAGCGCAGCGGCATTGGGCAAAACGGTCTTGTTTTGGGGCCGAGGTGGCCAAGGCCCTGGACAGCCCAAACAAACCCTCCTTAAAACCAAACAACACCCTCACGCCCAGACCTTCCAAAATCCCTTAATTAAGGAAAATACCTTAAGTCATATTAGGGATCCTACTATGATTTAAGGTATATTCAAGTATATTCCTTAATTAAAGGATTTTGGAAGGTCTGGGCGTATGGCAACTAGGGAAGCTGAGACATGGTCATCCTAAGCCCGAAACATTAAACCCGAAATCCTAAACCCTAGACCTTAAACCTTCCCAAACAGGTTCCGACTGTTGGGGTGTAGCAGGCCACAGAGAGGATTAAAGAACGCCTTCTTTCTCGACTCTCTGTGGTTGCGTGGTTTAGGGTTTAGGGTTTAGGGCTTTCCGGCTTTCCCCTAAACCCTAAGCCCAAAACCCTGAACCCTTTGGGCCCCTAACTAGCTGTTGTACCTCTTTGGGTTCAAGGCGAGTTTCTTGCTTGAAGCTTCAGCTCGTGCAGGCCTGAGCCCTAAACCCTACTTAACCCTCATTCACGTGCATGGGCTTTTGAGTTTTTATGACTTCTTTTCGGGGACCGGGCTTATGTCAGGAACATTAACATTCAGAATGGGGTTGTTCTGTATAATAATGTCGCTATACTGAGGAGCCCTAAGCAATGGTGTTTATCCGGGGTAGCTTATTTTGGGGTCCTTATAATAAGGATCCTACTATTTAGGGTACTATATCAGGGTCCCCTATTTTCGCAAACTCTCCTATGCAGTGCTAACAACCACAACAAGAACCCTAAACCCTAAACCCTAAACCCTAAACCCTAAACCTTGCACAAGTAACGAGCGCAGGGCCCCCCCTGGATAACCCGAAACCCTAAACCCCAATCCTTAAGCCTAAACCCAAAACTAAACCCCTGAACCCTAAACCTAGGTTGGATTTTGGGACATTTCTTATTTTCCTTATTTGGGTTTATAAGGGATCCTATATATCAATATTTTTCAGGGTGTGTAAAGGCCAACCCAGAAACCTAAAACCGGCTCCTCCATACCCCTCGCCCAGTCTCTGTCGGCGCCCCACGGCATAGACGCCATGTTCTTCGTCATGCGCAACGGCCGCATCACGGATGACACCATTGCCAGGCCATCCTCAACATGAGATGAGCCGCCTGAGCTCTGAATGTTTAGCAATAGTACCGCCAAGTTGTATTCACTATTTAACGCTTCGGAAAATCCCTAAACACACTCTGTGTATTATTGCTCCAATATTGAGAGTTCCTCCCAAAAGTTTCAAACACTTCAAGGACTGCCACAACTACAGTTTTACACTCGCTTGAGCGTTTACTTGAACCATATCTGTGGATCTAAACTATCGAAAAACAACTTGTCACCAATATTCGTGTGTGTACAAGCATACATACATAAAGGGAAGGTGCAGCCCTTCAGGCAGTAGGGTATTGGATCCACGGGTGAAGCCTAAACTCCACATGCATACGGTACCGTCCTGACTTCGCTCCTGTGAAATCCTTAGCCTGATATCTGTTGAGCTGTTGATGCCGATCAGCAGCAGCTGACGGCAGCCGAGCACGCACCCGTTTGGCGTATCTATATTTCCATGTAGGATCATCGTGCGATGATGATCCGCTTCATGTTGCTCACCCTTGCAGCGGGACTCCGCTTGAACACCGATCCGGTGTGGCCGTGGGAGGAGCACCCAGCGAGCACGGCCGAGGAGCTTCAGGAGCTCTTGGCGAGCATGATTTCAGAGGCCGACAAAGTTGAGACCCCGCAAAAGGGCGGCAAGGTGAAAGCACAGGAGCTGGAGCTCAGAAAACTGGTCGCGGACATGCAACAGCCCAAGGATATGTTGGACAACTTTATCGAGACGATCTGGCAGAGTAACGCAGGGCGGTGCCATCAGCAGCTAGTGCAGATGATGCGCAACCTTACGCTTTCGTGCGAAGGCTTGCAGCCGAAAGCCGACTGGCTTCTCGACTACTATAATGACCATACTGCCTGGGCCCTCCCGAACAAGACCTGCACCGAGAGCGTCAGAGACATCTTTGCTTCGGGAGACGAGCTCGTCCCGATCCTCCGCGTCTCCAGAGACGCAGTGGCTTCCTTGAGTGTATCCCGTAAGATGCTCCGTCGTTATCAGGCGCTCTCCTTTTTGAGGAACTGGCTGGTGAGCCTCACTCGCACCTTAGGCGTACTTAAAATAGTTTTTAATTTTTGGCTATTATAATCCCTAAGAAACAGCTAAAATTATAGTTTTTGCTAGGGTTCCAAGTTCAGAAAAGGCACTCATCATCATGCGCTGATTTGGACCGGCTTCTGGGATGGGGACCTGCAGAGGCGCACGACGAAGGCGAAGCTTCTAGGTTGGATTTTGGGACATTTTTTATTTTCCTTATTTGGGTTTATAAGGGACCCTATATATATATATATATATATATATATATACATATATATATATATATATATGTATTATTTTTGCAGGGTGTTTAAAGGCCAACCCAGGCTTGCCAACTTTGCCAAGTCGACAGAGCACGCGACCATGCACCCAGATAGCTTCCTGGGCCAAGTCATCGAGGCGAGCCGGGACCTCGACGCTTGCTACGAGGACGCTGAGACCAGTGCGCTTGCGGGAAATATGTGGTCCATCGCGAGCATGAGCTTCGTGCTCGGGATGCGCGAGAAAGCGCAAGGAACCGTCGTCGCATTGGTCAACAAGAAGATTACGGGGGAGCGCAACTTGTCCCAGTCCGTGCTGTCCACCCATGAAATCCCCACAGTGGGGCTCGCAGCCTGGGGGCTCGGGTACTGGTCTCCGAAAGTGATCATCGTGGACCTGATGGGCACCTGCAACCAGACGAGCCCGGCTCTGCAGAAGCAGCTCTTTATGCGCTTGCCCGCTTGGGCCAAGTCAATGAAGCACTGGAGCGCAGAAGCCTTTGCGAGGAGGTCGCGGCTGCAGTGGCAGTGCATCGACTGCTCGGGTGCTTGCAGCCTTGACGATGCCTTGGCAGAGCATGTGGAGAAGCTGGTCAAGGCAGGCGTGAGTTTGAAAGGACTTTGAGAAACCCGAACCTGTACACTCCAAGTGCCCTAAATCGTGTGATTCCCTGGATCCTCAACTCGGAGCTCTCAATCCTTAGGATGACTCTGATGCGTGTGTTTTTGCCCGATGCCGTCGTCGAATTTTTCTGCCGAGAAAACCCTAAACCCTATAAACCCTTAATCCCTAAACCTTACACCCCCAATCCCTAAACCCTAAATGAAGGCCAAAGAGGCACAGGACAGGAAGGACGCGGAGCTCCGCCAGGTCGGAACGCAAAGGATTCCGGGGGCTTAGGGTTCAGGGGTTTAGGGGCTTGAATCGGGTTCCGTTTACAGGAGTCTATATTATACAAGGGGTACTATAACGGGTATTTGGGGGTTTAGAGGGTTCAGGGTTGTTGGTTCAGGGTTTAGGGTTTATAGGGACTTAGTGGGGTGATACGGCTGATAAACATCCTGCATTACCCACAATATGGAATGAACTAACCATAATCCTAGTAGTAGAGTATTTAGCCTTCAACCTTTTTTGGGCAGTTTTTGTCCCTATATAGTCCCTGTATTACCAAAAAGGTTAACTAACCTTTAGTTCCCCATGATACCCGACAAGTAGGTACTTCCGATATAGTCTAGGGTCATTAAGGTAATATATCATCAACAGTACCCTGAAGTTATTAGAAGTGCCTTTGTTGGAGTTATACGTAGCCAGCCGAACCCACCTGTGGTGAGTGGAGGGCAAGGAGACCCCAATTACCCGCCAGCCCCCCACGTACTTACACTGGCAGGGGCTCCCTTTACCCCTTAGTAGCTGAGTGGATACAGTTGACACTTTTTGGGACAACATTACCCACTATAAAACCAAAAGTGTACACTTTTTGCGGCTTATGAACTCAGCAACTAAGACCCCACACCCAAAGCTTCCAAACCCAAGGCGAAATCCTGAACTCTAAGAGCCCCATTTCCCCCCGACTGCCTGCTCCCTGCGAGGTCGTCAGTCCTGGTCTTGCGGTCAGGGCCGTTGCCGGGCTCAGCACAGATGATGCAGACCTTAGCGTAAAGCTGGCGCATGCACTGATCAAAAAGGAAAGAAGACACAGCGCGAAAGCTGCACATGCACGCGCCGTTGCTCTGATCCATGATCTGGAAGACGATGCCAGCGAGGCTGCGCAGGGAATTCCGCAGCTCAACCCAGCGGCGAGGCAACTGCGGTTCAAGCAACTGCTCCATCAGAATGCTGATCCAAACGCTCCGGACAGGCTCGGCCAAACAGCCCTCATCTACGCTGCACACGAAGGACCCTGGGTTCTTGTTTAAGAACTTAATTTAAGTTACCATAATAAGGAGACCATATTATTTGGTGTCGACTCCTGTTATGGTAGCTTAAATCTACTTCCTTAAAAAGAACCCAGGACCTGCGGAGGTGGTCGAGGCATTGCTGAATGCTGGTGCACAGCTGGAGGCCCGTGATGAGGACGGCAACACAGCCCTCATTCATGCTGCGGCCAAGGGCCACCTCCAGGCGGTCGAGGCGTTGCTAAAGGCTGGAGCACAGCTGGATGTCGCCAGTGAGTTTAGTTTCACAGCCCTCATCTATGCTGCAATGGAAGGCCACCTGAACGTGGTCGAGGCATTGGTCAAGGCTGGAGCCCAGCTGGAGGCCCCCAGTGATCGAGCCGGCACAGCCCTCGTGAGAGCTGCTGAGTTTGGCCACCTGAATGTGATCGAGGCATTGCTTAAAGTCGGAGCACAGCTGGATAGCGCCAATCAGTACGGGGAGACAGCCCTCATGCAAGCTGCCGAGGAAGGCCACCTGCACGTGATCGAGGCGTTGGTAAAGGCCGGAGCACAGCTGGAGGTCGCCAATCAGCATGGCGATACGGCCCTCATGAAAGCTGCTGCGGAAGGCGACCTGAACGTCGTCGATGTGTTGCTTAAAGCCGGAGCACAGCTGGATGCCGCCAATAAGGTTGGCCACACAGCCCTCATGTTTGCTTCAGTGGAAGGCCACCTGAGCATGGTCGAGACATTGCTGAAGGCCGGAGCCCAGCTGGAGGCGCGAGATGTGTATGGCTTCACGGCCCTCTTCTTGGCTGAATCTACCGGACGCCTGAACGTAGTTAAGGCATTGAAGAAGGCTGGAGGACGGCAGGCCAACGATGAGAATAACACAGCAGCTTTCCCCCGTGCACAACAAGGCCCATCCGCATATGGAGCACATGGATAGCATGCTTCGAGGCTTGCATAGCCGCAGAAAAGTAATGTGCTGCATGCTCCGGAGTACTATAGGGGCTTCAACAATTACCTACACTATTTTGGGGGTTCCTTATTGTATGTATAGTATAATGGGGCCCAAAACCCTATTCTAATGATTAAGGCCCCTATGCTATGCCCCTAAATGTGGAGACCCGAGTGCATCAGGCTCCGACTGACTTATTACATACCGCAGACTGAACTGCAAGTCCTTCGCCTTCAGCTAAGCTTTAGCTTTGGAGGTTCATGGGTATTATGGTTTTGGGGACCTAATTCTATGATGGTAGTGTATATGGACCTTCTGGGTTATAGAATCTCGTAGACCTAGTTTGAACCTTGAGCCCTAAACCCTCAATCCTAAAGCTTCAACCGATCAAAAAGCTTCATTTGCTGTGCAAGCCTCAAGGAGGCAGGTGCTGGACCTGCTCAGGCGGAGAAAGAGCCATTGCACTTAACAAAGAAAAGCTTAAAGCCTAAACCCCTATTGAGCTCTTATAGGAACTTTTATCGAGCTTGTAGAGAGACCCTCATGGGGCATCGGGATTCTTGTTAAGGAGTTTAGATGAAGCTGCCAAAATTCCTGAACAAGAACACAGCACTTGTAAGACGCAGTCACCCAGAGAACCCAATACCCCTTAATTAAGGAATTTAGCTTAAATCATAATATGAAGCCCTATATAATTTAAACCATATTCCTTCATTCCCTTTTAGAACCCCTATAGATCCCTTTAAGGAACCCTTATTCCTTAATTATTGGGCTTTCTGGGCATGAACCTTCAAGTAAGCCTCACTGCCTCGGTGCTAGGCTCATCTACGCCACGGAGTATCTTTGGGGCACAGAATGCGCCTGGGCATCTCAACTGGGCTCGGATGTGGGTTAGGGTTTAGGGTTGAGAGTTTAGGGTTTCAGCTTCAGGGTTTAGGGGTTTAGGATTTAGGGTTTTAAGGTTTAGGGGTTTAGGGGTTTAGGATTTAGGGTTTTAAGGTTTAGGGGTTTAGGGGTTTTGGATTTAGGGTTTTAAGGTTTAGGGGTTTAGGGTTTAGGGTTTAGGGTTGAGAGTTTAGGATTTCGGCTTCAGAGTTTTGGCGTTCAGGGGTTTGGGGTACGGCTGAAAGGCCAAAGCCCGATATCCTAAACCCCAAACCACAGGGAAAAGCTCCGAAACCCGTCCCAACTCTAAGTCATAGAGACCCGTAGGGTGGTAGGGGAGGGGGGGTAGGGGACCTTAATGCTCATCATAAGGACCTAAAAAGGCCTGTTTGAGGAAGTATAATCCCCTACTTGGAGGGTCGGGGGACTTAGTAAGTAGTTATTTTATAGACTTATAAGTACCTCAATAGGGACCCTAATTGGGGTTATGATACTTATAACTCTATAAAATAACTACTTACTAAGTCCCCCGACCCTCCAAGTACCCCCCTCCCCCCTACCCCAGCTGAGGGTCCCTATGATGAAGACCTGCACCAAACCCAAACCGTAAGCCCCAACGGTTTAGGGTTTAGGGTTTAGGGTTTAGGGTTTAGGGTTTAGGGTTTAGGATTTAGGGTTTAGGGTTTAGGGTTTAGGGTTTAGGGCCCACAACACCAGTATCAACAGATTCTGCCGTTAAGCCTCAACACCTGCAATGCTCTTACAGCATACATCCCAAACCCCGCTACCTCCCAAAACCCCTACTTGGAGGTTCATGGTTAGTTAGAAGTAGGGTCATAAGTAGGATAACTATAGTTATAACCCATATTACAGGACTTATAAACCCAATCATAACTACCCATGAACCTCCAAGTAGACCCCACACATCAGACCCACCACCCCGTATAGAAACCTTACGACCGGGAAGCCCTATGTGGTTTGGTTGCTGACAGAACCGTCTTAGACCTACGGTTGATGATATAAATCCTGCATGACCCAGAATAAGGAATATACCGTAATTCCCATAGTCTAGGGTCCTTAAGGTAATGCGGGATTTATATCATCAACCGTACTTCCCAAACCCCAATCTCAAACCCTAAACCCCAAACCCTATAGCAAAGCTGACACCTGGCTTTGACACCTTCTAGAAGACCCTTGTCCCTTCGTTAGGGTTTGGTGTCTCTTATTCAAGGTTTGCAAGGGTAAGAATCAGAACTCGGGTTGCTTTAATAAATGTAGTTGCATGGAGGTTCATGGGGTGTGCCATAAGTATAGTATAGTTATCCTACTTATAACCCTATTTGTAACTACCCGCTCTCTCGAAATCGAAACAGAACCCGAGGAAGATACTCCGAAACCCCTAAACCCCAAGCCCAAACACAACCCTAAACCCTAAGCCTCAAACGTATGCACCAAAGCCCTGGACCCAAAATAAGCGTTGAACCTTCAGCAAACCCTCAAATCCCACATGCCAGTTGCGCGATATCTAGGCTCCTGAGTAGTAGCCCTTTGCCTTGTTTAGTTTGGGGTCTCTATTAAACGCCGAGTATTAGGAAAAAGGGGTACCCTTATTTTCTTGAGGGGCTATTCAGGAACCTCGATAATTTTACGTTTCCCCAAACTATCCATGGGGTAGGTTGCCGTTTTGCTCTGGACAGGGAAGTATGTTCCCCAACGACCCTCCGAAATCGACATAAAACACTAGTCACAGAAGGCCCTATGACCCCTACAAGGCCCTATGAAATCTTCACATAAACCCAACTAGCCCGAATTACAAAGGACTTCAGGAACTCCCGAATCTAAGCAATCCCCAAACCCTAGACCTAGACCCCAAACTCCAAATCCCTACACCCCGAAACCCCGAAACCTCTAGACCCCTTTTCTAAACCCCTAAACCCCTCAACCCTAAACCCAAAACCCCTAAGCCCTTGACGCCTAAACTCTAAACCCGCTAAACCTCTAAACGCCCCCCATGCAAGATCCCTAAACCCTGAGACCCTCAAGAAAGAAATAAATAGACATTGCTTGTCACTACTTGCGTTGAGCCCCCTAAACCGTCAATTTCAAGGCCAACCCGTCGAGTCACAAAACTTCACCAAATTCGAATCACGTTCCAGACCAAATTCAAAATCTGGGTTCAGTCGCAAAACCTGCCCCTCTGGTTTCAATTACAAACCCACAGGCCCCACCCCCACAGCCCAGCTTTAGGCGCCAGCCCGCAGCCCCCCAATCCGCAGTTGCAAGACCGAGCTCCAGCCGCAGCCCAGCCCCACCCCAGGCCCAGCCCGCACCCATCAGAGGCCCAGCCCTGAACCCTGCCCGACTGCAGAATCCACAAAATACCCAACCCCCAGCCACATTCCCGGCCAAGCTCCCAGCCCCCAACCCGCCCGGATTCACCGCCCCCAGCCCACCCAAGAAGCAGCCCAGCCCAGCACCACATTTTCCAAAATCAGATTTCAGTCAGAAAACCTGGTCAAAACGTTTCGCTAAAAACGTTTCGCCCAAAACTTTCGATCAAAACGTTTTGCTCAAAACGTTTTTGGCACCCAAACCCTTAATAATTTCTATAAACCCCAACCAGCCCAGCCCAGCCCAGGCTAGCGCAGCTGTATCTGAAGGTGCTCGAAGGCGACGCCCAGCCGGCGCACCCCTCTCCGCAACCTCAGGTCCGTGCCTGCCGTAAGTACGAGTCAAGCGGTGCGCATGTGGGCGTTCGTGTGAGATGGGGTTGCACGATGTGAGGCCCGATTCCCACGGGGAGTCGACAGAGCCACAGTTCGGGGCAACGCCTTGCTCTCGGACACAGAGGCCGTGAGCGGTATGGTATGCTTCAGCCGGCGTCTCCCGGCATTATCCCTGCAGGTGGCCGTGACCCCGAGTGTGGGCAAGGAAGATACAAGCCAGCTGGCCCTTGAGCTTGAAGCATGCGTCTACTCCGTCTATTTCGGGGTGACCAGACCCAAGCCGGGAGTCCTGCACCGGCGTGGTTCGAGTCGTTCCCTGGCACATGCTGGCAGGGAGTAGCAGGGAAAGATGAGAGGTCCAGAACAAATAAAAAAGGAGGAGGAGGAGGAGGAGGGGCAGAGCTCGTTTCGTACGGGATGCAATCGGGACACCTTTGCACGTTGGGGTTCGAAAACTAAATCGAGCTGTGTTCATTCATGTCTCCTAGCATTGCAATATGGTCTTCCGTCTCGGCTAGGCTGGCCGGCCCTCCTGACCGCCTTGATGGGTCGGGAGGACGGGCACATCTACCACTCCACGGAGGCCCTTCTCAACTCGCCGACTGCGGGTTGGGTCATCCGCTCCGTGGAGTGTATGGAGCATGCGTACGCGCGTCTCCAGCTCCTGCTCACACCTTCTGTCTTTCAGGCTCGTGTCTCCGGGTCATGTTCAATTGCTATTGACTTCGCCGGCGCCTGGACAGGCGTGGAACCGAAGATTTAAGATCGAGTTCCTGCCGGAGGCGAGCACAACGAACCCGGCCGGGCAGGCAGGCGAGGTCATGTATGAACGCTTGTGCATCTTTAGCAGGTGGGCGTTGACTATCGGAATGGGCAGTCGGAGATCGGTCCCGTCGCAGCCCAGTACTACGGCATGCTGAGACATAGGCAAGGCGCATTCCGGAAAACGAGCTCGCACCCACGCGCGTTCAAGCCGCAAACGAAGCGGCGAGCTTATACCCGTGATTAGGGTTTAGGTTAGAGGGTTTATGGTTTAGGGTTTAGGGTTTCAGGTTGAAGGTCCAGTTCCCAGCCCCAGCCCTCAGCCCGGGCCTAGCCCCAGCAGCACAGCACCAATTTTCGAACATCAGGTTTCAATCAGAAAACCTGCTCAAAACGTCCGGTCAAAACTTTCTGACGAAACTTTCGCTCAAAACGTTTTTGGCACCCAAACCCTTAACGATTTCTATTAAAACCCCTAAACCCAAAACCCCTAAACCCTGAGGTCTAAACCGTAAACCTAAACCCCTAAACCCCTAAACCTCTGAACCCGAAGCCCAAAACCCTGAGGTCTAAACCGCAAACCCTAAACCCCCAATCTTCCAACACTTTAAGTGCAAGATCCCAGGTCTCCTCAATCTCTACGTGGTGGTTACATACGCCAGCAAGTATGTGTCGGGCCCTTGGGTTCAGGGTGTTACTGCTTCAGTGTTTTTAGGGCTTAGGGTTTAGAGTTTAGGTTTGGGTTTCAGTTTAGAGCTGAGGGTTCGGGTGTTCAGGATCTAAGGATTTACCGAAGTTTAAACCACAAGGGCTTCTGAAAGTTTGTAGATTCCCTTGTAGATCTCCCAGGTTTTTACACGGTTTATGCGGGTATTTGCAAGGCCGTCTTGTTTTTAGGGCTCTGAGACACTGACCGCAGTATAGGATCGTGTTTAGTTCCGCTCAACACGTTGTTTCGGTATCGTTTCGCAAACATGTGTCCGGCCCCGCAGGGCCACATTGCTTTGTCATAGTTGGGTAACATTTTACATTTTTATGGCTACTTAAACCCAATAAGGGACAAAAATTTAGATTTTTAATCCTATCCGAACCGTGAACTAGATAGGTTGTCATCGAGCAGAGTGTTTCGTCAAAAGAGCAAAGGGCACATGAGGGAGAACATCGGTTCGGACCTTGGCTTCTGGTCATCCCTTTGCGAGGCACTGGCAAACCGTTAAACCCTACTGTTGATGATATAAATCTTGCATGACCCAGAAAAAGGAATATACCATTATTCCCATAGTTTAGGGTCCTTCAGGTAATGCAGGATTTATATCATCAACAGTACGACTGACTACGAATAGCTGACTCTTGTAATCGAATTTAACTTATGTCCCTACTTTACATGTTCATAAGGACCTTATCACAGAAAACGGTCACCACGCAATCAAAACAGAAGACTTAGAAACCCGCGTTTTAAGCCACAGTCCCATAAAACACTTGCAAATCTGGTACGGAAGCCCGTCTGAGCCATGTAAAGCCCCGAAGAACAAATCCTTCTAATTCATGTTCGGAGTTTCGAGCCGTAGGTTTGAAGCCATTCGGATGGGTTGAGGGATTTTAGGGATTGGGGTTTAGGGATTTAGGATTGCCGGGAGGCTTGGAAGTATTTGTAACTACAGGCACCTCAATCATGCTCCTCCTTGCCAAGTCTTGTAGCCTGTTTAGTAAGTCCCACGATCCTTTGAGTGGGGTCTAGCGACTCCTAAACCCTAAACCCTTGACGGATTACTATAGGGGCCTCAGTATTGAGCATAGGGCTTTGGGGCCCTTTCTAGTATATGCAGTTATAATACGAGTAGGCCGTATAGTAACCCGTATAGACCCCCTTAAGGAATAACATAGGTAGTTATTTTGGCTTCTATAGCACCGTGCCCGAAAAACCTTGCGTCCTGCCAGGACGCAAAGAGAAGAGGCCCCGCGCTGGTGATTTAAGTGGGCAGTTGTCAAAATTATGGTCCTTTTTTGGGTACCCTAAATATTAGGTGCCGTATTATAATAGGGACCCAAACAGGGACCGTAATTTTGACAACCACCTTTCTGGCCTCAATGATTAGTTTAGGGGTTTAGGGTTCAGGGTTTAGGGTTTCGGGTTGAACCACGTTAGTTCCTTTAAGGGTTCCAGGTTCTCTAAGGGCTGCTAGTTACAAGGGTGAAGCATCATCTAATCAGAGTTCTTCATAACTAGAATAGGGTTTGGGCGTAGGCTTTCGTATCACTCAACAAGGAACCCGAAGCAAGACTTCTGTTCAGGCATTAAGGGTCTTCTTCGGATCTGTAATTTCCTGTTTCAGCCCTTATCAAGGGAGGGGTGTTGGTTGATCACGGGTTGAAGGGTGGCTTACCCAGACCTTCCAAAATCCCCAATTAAGGAATATACTTTAAATCAAGGTAGCGTCCCTAATATGATTGTAAGGTATATTCCTTAATTAAGGGATCTTGGAAGGTAATCTTTAGATGCATCGAGGGTTCAGGTAGAAGGGTCCCAATATCGGCCCTAAACAGCAGGATTCTTTTTGCAAATTCAACCAAACGACTCCAAACCTAATACCCCTTAATTAAGGAATATAGCTTAAATCATAATATGTAGCCCTATATGATTTAAGCCGGCGACTCCAAACCCAAGCCGTTGAATCCTTATACACTGCGAGCAGCGGAAACCCGAGCCTTTGACGGTCTGGTGCTTAGTAGGGAATGGGGGAATGGACCCCTATAGTAGTCCCTATACAATCCCCAATAATAGTCTCCATAGTCGGAAACCCCAGCTTTGAATGTGGATTTTATTGTTTGGGGGGATGTATTATGGAGACTATTATTGGGGACTATATCGGGACTACTTTCGGGATCCATTCCCCCATTCCCTACCAAGCACCAGACAGGTCGGTACCACAGACCTCCCGCTTGCTTCAAGCTTGTTGTTGCATCGCACACCCCACTGTTCTCCTTCCCTGGCCGTTTCTCAGTTGCACCCCTGGTTTGATTTCTTGCGGTGCCTAGTGCCTGTCGCCATCACCAATATTCTTGTGTCCAACCCGCGTTTCCTGGTCACACGTTTTGACACGGACTCGGACAGTTGATGCACCTATGGTGCCAGGTGCCGAGCCGGCTGTCACGATTTGTGGTTTTGCGATGGTTTAGTTAATTCGAAACTTTTGGTTCAATGTTTCAACTACCACAAGCAACATGTTCTTTTCTCGTCGGTTGTAGACTTTAGTCTTGAATTTCAAGGATACTATCAAACCACATAGGCTCCGCGCATGGGTTTAGGATGCAGGATTGCGACCTTGAATCACTTACTATAAGGGGCCTAAATCATGGCCAATGCTGTTTTGGGGGTTCCCTATTTTTAAGTCTCTAGTTGTTTCTCTCAAGCTGCCAATGCGCATTTTGAGAGGGAGCAGTCTCAAATCCGATTGTAATCATTATAGTTTCCTGAACCCCAAAACTCTGTTCTAATTATGAAGGCCCCTATATTAGCGGAGCAGAGGGTTCTGTTGTGGATAATGTATAGTGTAGACTCCTAGCGACGAGCCATGTTACCAAGAGGGTCCATATGCACCACTATCCTGGACCTAGCCCAAAAAACCACAATGGGGATGGTCTTTTCGGACCTAATTCCATAATGGTAGTATATATGGACGCTGTGGGTTGAGGCCCTTCAAGACCAGGGTTTTTCAATCAGGGGCTTTGGTGTGTACGTAACGTCAGACTACAAAACACTGTACCAAGCATCCAGATCCCTGTGATGAACCCAGAGAGCCCAATACCCCTTAATTAAGGAATATAGCTTCAATCATAATATGAAGCCCTCTATAAGTTAAGCCATTTTCCTTAATTATGGGGTATTGGGCTTTTTGGGAAACTGCCGACTGGAAAGGATAAAGGGTTCCAGGCTATAGAGCAAAAAGAGCATCTCGTAACGATTCGGTCTGTACCCAGAGAGCCCAAAAAGGAATACAGCTTCAATCATAATATGAAGCCCTCTATAAGTAAAGCCATTTTCCTCAATTATGGGGTATTGGGCTCTCTGGGAATACCGTTAAGGCTTCGAACTTGGGTCAGCCATGCACCCATAAACCTGATCAAGCCCTACAGCAACTCCTGTAGCACCACAATAATGCGCAAAGCCCCACACAAAGCCGCAAATTACGTGCCACTTCACTGCAAATTCCCACACCTCTCCAGAGCTTCAGCCCTAGACAAAACGCATAATGCAAGGCCCGCAGCGCCTGAATACTTGGTGCTACGGCTGATGGACAAAATCCTGCATGACCCTAAGGACTCTAAACTATGGGAACTACGGTATGTTTCTTATAATGGGTAATGCAGGATTTTGTCCATCAGCAGTAGTAACTTTGCGTTCCTTACGGTTCCGTAGTATATTTGCCGTAGATCCCTGCACCCAAGAGGCTTTGTCGTGGATTGAGCGCCAGACGGAATTGAATTGGCGGTTCAAGCACATCTACAACCTCGCCGTTCGCCTCAGAGAGGGTTTGGGTTTCTATGGAGACTGTTTCTATGTTCCTAGGTTAAGAAGTACCTGTTGCTTCGTCAGTTTAGGAGTTCCCTTTCGAAATGAGCAGCATTGTTTAATCAAAGGGTGCACATGGGAACTGTGCTTCGGGTGGCTGCACAGGGTTCTACAGGACGTTTTTGCGAATGTTTAGAAAGTGGGTTCAAAGGTTTCAGGCTTGGGGGTTTTAGGAGGTTCCAAGTGTGGGTGGTGGGGTGTTGCATGGTGTTTGCTTGGGGTACAAAGTCGGAGGAGCCTGCACGCCGCTATAAACCCTTGTAGACATCTTGATCGGTTTATCGTCGCATTTGTTTCTGCTGATCCACCAGAAGACAATGAAGATGATGATCAGAATGGTAATGGCGATGACCAGGCGTTTGAACTTTGTACTTGTTCCCGTTCTTTGCTTGACGGTCCTCGTGTGTTCGGGTTTCGGTATGGCTGCCCTAAACCCTAAACCCTAAACCTTAAACCCTGAACTAGTATCGCTTAGAAGCCTGAATAGTTAGTACCACTCTCTTTCTTAGAGCTCCGTCTGCTGGTATGTACTCTAATATGGGAGTTTCCGAGAATTAGGGGTACCTTGTTCGGGGGGTCCTTAAAATAAGAATCCTACTATATAGGATGCTATATCAGGGTCCCCAATTTTGGTAAACTCCCATACAGACCAAAAGTCTTCAGGCCCCCTATTAAGGGAACTCCAGAAAGTTGGAGTATGGTTTCGGGGTAGGATACCCTATAATTTACCATAAAGGGTTTAGGATAATCATATTCCATCTTTCTGGCTTTTACTGTATATTAATTACCACCCACGAGGCCTCTGAGAGAACCTTGGTTTGGAACCGACGCCACAAAAAAAAGCTCCTGTGGGGGGTTTAGGGTTTCGGGGTTGAGGGTCCCTTTAAAAGGATGTATAAGGGCTCCTCTAAGGGATCTTTAGGTTTTAAGGTATAGTGCCTGTATCTTCAGAAAAGGGTGTTTCCTCGGCTTGATTAGGGTACCTGCTTGACGAGAGGCATAGCGACAGGTTCCGTGTCGTTTGATCTCCGCGAGCTAGAACCCAGCGGGTTGGAAAATTAGTTATCCTCACACTTTACAAGGCAAGTCTAAAGGCATCCCAGCACACATCATCCTAATCCACATTCCAAGTTTCCGGGGTTCACGGGTAGAAGAAAGCTTTCCGAGAGGGTGGTCCCTCTGTTAAACCGACCTGTAGACATGCCCTGAAGTTGAGGAGATGAGCCCAAAGAGCCCAAATCCTTAAAATGTATTAAAGAGCTCCGATAATTTAGGGTTTAGGGTTTAGGGAATTCCCTCAGCAAGGGTCAAAATCACCACATAAACTCCTGGTAAATGCTCCGCGAACTCTTCAACGACACCTTCGGCAGTCGCGGATAGGGGCTCTCCGGGGAGTCTTTAGCTCCGGGTGCCATTTTTTAACATACGGCTTCTAGGATTCTACCCAGAGCCCAATACCACTTAATTTTGGAATATTATGATTTTTGTATAATGGGCCCCAAAGCCCTATTCTAATTATTCAGGCCCCTATATTAGGGCTTCAAAAAGAACGGGTTTCAGAAGGCCTCAGGTTCCCGCGCGTCAGGGGCAAAGCTTGAATCGAAGGCGTTGGCCCTAAACTTCCTAAACCCAACACCTTTAACATTAAAATCCTTCAAAACCATAAAAACTCAAAAATTTTAAAATCCCTAAAGCCCCTAAAATCCTTAAAACCCTACAACCCCCACAACTGTGGTGTTTGAGCGCGCACAGACCATCTCCTAGCCTCAACTTCAAAGATCATTGAATTCGATCCCCGAAGTTTTGAATCCTCAACGCTCTAAGCCCTAAACCCAAAGCCCTTAACCTTGAACCTCAAACTTAGAAATCCCAACCCTGTGGCCTTTAAGGCCTGAGGTCGAACTCCTAAACTTTGAACCCTAATTCTTACAAGGGGCCCCCACCCTGTAATAGTGGTATAATAGGAATATAATAGGGCCCTAGTATAATCCTTAAAAGTCACTATTACAGGGTGGGGGCCCCTTCTAACCTAATCCTGAATCCTTAACCCGTAAACTCAAGCATTAATATGGGGGCCTAAACAACTACCGATACTACTTTGGGGTGTTCCTTATGAAAACTGTACTATGATGGGCCCCAAAACTCTTTTCTAATTCTTAAGGCACCGATACCGGTGCTCAACGTTGAGCCGTCCTCAACCCTAAAGCCTGCCCTAACAGCAAGGTTGGAAACAATCCCAACAGGAGCGCTGATTCTTGTGGGGTCGGGGCAGAGGGGGGGGGGAAAGGCGCTTGAACATGAAGTTAAAACATTGGTGGCGTAGCGGATCCTTTACAACGGGCAATTCGGGATTCCAGAAAACATGACTTGTTAGATCCTTATGTTGAGGCACGGTTTCGTGGTCGGTTTTGCTGTTCATTGCCGCTTCGACAGCGACTTCTGTTCGGAGTCTGTATGGCTTATGGTTCGGACTTTTGAACATCGGCTTTTGGCACTGGTCTGGTGTCTGAGCTGTAACAATACGTCATAGGTCACAACACTCCCTTAAAGTTCCTATAATTAGCTGCGGCCCACTACGTCCCAAACCTTGTTCGAGTTGTCAAAGCCCTTTCTGAGCTTAGCAGCCTTTTCATGTTTGTTTCATCTGGCAGTCAGAAGCCTGACGGACGTAAGAGGCGCATTTGTTTACACGGGGCTGTGGTTGGCAGGTCATGCCAGTTGCCCTGTTACTCCGACAACCACCTGAAGCCCCAAACCCAGAGAACCCAATACCCCTTAATTAAGGAATATAGCTTAAATCATTTTATGAAGCTCTATGTAATTCAAGCCATATTCCTTAATTAATGGGTATTGGGCTCTCTGGGAACCCTGCAGCCTAGAAGGTTATGAGCCCTTGATGACCACTAGAACCGTAGGTTTTGGGATCCGCGGATACGCTTGAAACCCCACGGACGGAGTCCTACAACCGCAAACCTTGCAAACTTCCGATCCGCGGGGTTGAGCGGTTACTAAGTTTTTAAGAGCTGATGCTAGGGGTTTTGAACTTAATTTAGACTTCAAGGCTTAGGTCTCTGGTTGTCCCCTTTGGTTTGGGTTTGTTGTGCTTGACAAAACTATGGTCCCTTACCCAAAAAGGGACCCTAATTTGACAACCACCCACAATGTCAACATAGATGCGAGTTTCCTCTCAGAGTCCGCCGTTAATCCTGAGCCCCCAGAGCCTACTTAAAGGATCGTGGGACCTTTGGTCGGAAGATTGGGATTCAGGATCAGGGTTCAGGGTGTGATGGCTTTCGGGCTTGGGCTTAAGGACTAGGCTTTACTAGGGTAGCGACACTGGTAACTTCTTAGAATCCCGATTAAGGTACTTATAACCACACCCGTACTTACTAAGTCCTTGAGTCCATACAACGACGCCCTTATAAAGCCCCCACGCATGAAAAGGTTGATTTTAATCCCTAAACCCTAAACCTTACACCCTGAAACCTTAAACCCTAAGCCCTAAACCTTAAGCCCTAAACCCTAAACCCAGAATCCTAAACCCTAAATCCTAAACCCTACAGGGTGGCAGGCCCTAAAACGCCTCAAGTCTTCCGCATGACTTCAGCGCATCCCGCCGTAGTCGCCAGGATCCTCTTCGTGGACAATCCAAATCCCGAAGACGGGGAGCCACTCACGAGGATCCTTTTAGGGTTTAGGGCTTTAGGGCATTGGGTTTAGGGCTTAGGGTTTCTAAGGACACTAACTTGGAGGTTTATGCTTAGTTATAAGTGGGGTTATAAAGTATGGGTTATCGCTATAGATATCCTACTTATACCCCTACTCATAACTACCCATGAATCTCCAAGTAAGTGCCTGTACGGGAGTTTCCGAAAACAAGGGGTGCCTTATTTTGGGGTCCCTACAAGAAGGATCCCATCACTGTAACGACCTCTTGTACATGTGTTTAGGGTTTAGGGGGTGTTGGGTACAGGGTGTTTAGGGGTCTCGTCGTGTTTGGGATTTCCGGGTTTAGGGGTTCAGGTTAAACCCTAAACTCAAGGCCTAGGCCGCCCACCTTCGTGGGTGGGCGGCGCTTAAGCCCCTCGATCTCGATGGCGCAGAGCGTCCCAATACGCTTGCCGGCCTTTCCACAGCCATGGGAACAGTAGCACCCACGTCAGGCCCGGTTTCGGGACCAGTACTGGTCCCCAATACCCCAAACCCAAGCCCTTCACCCTCCAAGCCCGTTGTTTGGGCCTCCAAAAAGAGACCCTGCAGGGGGGGCTTGGGGCCTGCAGCGAGCAGAGTTCAGGGACCTCGGGGCCTCGGCAGAGCCCTTTTTGACAGCCTCCTGGCCTCCGGCCCTTCCAGGCCCCCCCAGACCCCGGCCCCCTGGCCTCCCTGGTGACCCGCTTGCCCTGCTTTTTGTGGCTTCGCCTTCTTTCTGACCCCCGCCTGCCCTGCCCCCCTGCCCTACCTGCTGCCCGCCTTCTGCCCTACCTTGCCCTGCCCTGAACTGACTAGCTGGTTTTTGCCTACTACATTCTGTTCATAAAATGTGCATTTTCATTAGGCCCGGTGCCAAAGTCGAGGTCCCCTCCTTTCTTTGTGTGGGCCTAATCAAAAGAAATAAAGAAAACCACCGAATGAGTTTAGGTGCTAAACCCTAAAAGGAATAGGTTTGGGTGGGTTGGGTGCCTCAGACGGCGTGGGGTGGGAGAGTTAAAAGAAAGAGCCATCCACCGTCAGGCTCCAACAGCCAATCGTCATATTACGACGCACTCGAAAATACCCTGTCGCAAGCTATTTCCGCTTCTGCGCCAGTCTACGGCAAACCCTAAACCCTAAACCCTCAAGAGCAGGATAAATAGAAATTGTGTGTCTTTCGCTTCCAAATGGATTGCATCTTCGATATTTTCGAATTTTCCTTAAACGTGTGCGTGGAAAGCCACACCCGCCCAGCCCAGTCCTGCCCAGCCTAACCCAGCCCAATTCAGCAGCTCCCAACCAGCTCCAGGTCCAGCCCCGCCCCATCCCCAACCCCAGCCGCAGCCCAGCAGCCAGCCCCAGCCCAGCAGCACCCCAGCCAGCCCCAGCCCAGCCAACCCACCCAGTCCCCCCAGCCCCCCAGCCCAGCCCCCACCCAGCCCGCACCAGCCAGTTCGGACCCCAGTCCGCCACCCAAAATGAAAGTTTCAAGTCAAAAAACAAAACCTGCTCAGAACTTTCGGTCAAACGTTTCGGTCAAAACTGTCCCCCAAATCCCCAGCCCACTCCCAAAATCAAAACACCAAAGTAAAAGAACAAACTTTCGCTCGAAACTCGCTCAAAACCCCGGACCCAAACCCTATACAATTTCTATAAAGACGTTTCGCTCAAAACCCCGGGCCCCCCCCCAGTCCCAGTCCCACCCCAGCCAGCCCCCTCCCGCCCCCCAGTCCCAGCCCCACCCCAGCCAGCCCACTTCCAAAATCAAAACACCAAGGCAAAAAAAACAAACCCTGTCAAATCGCTCAAAACCTCGGACCCAAACCTCATGCAATTTCTATCCAGCCCTTCAACCACCAAAATCAAAACATCAAAGCAAAAAACAAAACGTTTCGCTTAGAACGTTTCGCTCAAAACTTTCGGTCAAAACCCCGGACCCAAACCCTATACAATTTCTATAAACCTTAACCGTGGAGTTTAGCGCTCAAGAGGGTCAAGAGGTTAGGGGACCTGTTGCACCGGTTTTGTGGGCTTTCAGACATCCCTCCAGATAGGAACCTATTCTGATAATCATAAGGTCTGCAAAAAAGGAAGCCTTTTCTAAATAAGTATGAAGCTCTCAAAAGGAACCCCTAGTATTCAAATCCTCCGGCCCAAAGATAGACCCTAAACCCTAAGCCCTAAACCCACATTGTCGGATTTTCCGGCACCTTGCATAAGACTTTTGGAGGGCCTGGGGACTTAGTAAGTTAAGTACTTATTTTACAGAGATATAGGTACCGTAACCCCGGTTAGGGTCCCTTCTAAGGTACTTACAACTCTATATACTTGTATACCCTAAGGGTCCAAGTACCTTCTACTTACTAAGTCCCCCGACCCTCCAAGCGTGTTTTCGGGAGCCGGGAGGATCCGACGTCACAACAGCAAGATGAATGTCATGAAGGCACGTGTGGCTTCGGGTTTAGGGTTTCAGGAAATAGGGGTTGGGGGTTTAGGGTTTAGGGGTTTGGGGTTTAGGGGGTTTAGGGTTCAGGGTCGCCGTTTTTGTACTGTTGTAAGATTTGCTGGACGATAATGTGGCAGTTCCTACAGCTTTTGTGTTCACCTACAGTTGCTGGCCAAGTCAGGGTATGGGACGGTATGGAGTTTGGGTTTGGGTTTAGAGTTAGGTTGCTTTTGTGTAGTGTTCTGGGTTAGGGTATGGGGCTGTATGGAGATTCGGGCTTGGTTACAGGTTTAGGGTGGGTTTGGGTTAGGGTTTAGGGTTGCAGGTTTAGGGTTACGGGTTTAGGGTTGTTTGGGTCAGGGTTTAGGGTACAGGTTTAGGATTAAGGGTTGTTGGGGTCTGGGTTAGGGTTTCGTGATGTTGTTGTCGTCGGACTTAACCTACCCGCAGCACTGACATTAATTACAAGACATGGAGCCATGTCTCGGATCTTTCACAGTAGCTAGGGGCCCAAACATTTAATCACCCAAAAATATCAATACAAGGGTTCCTTATACCCATAGTATAAAATCTCATCCAATGTTTCCGGCCCCTATTATCGGCAGGGATCGCTTACTTGGGGCCCTTGTAATCAGCATCCTGCTTTTGAATGTCTGTTTGAAGGTCTTTTGTGCTTTTGGAGACTTTGGCAGTCGAAATACCCAAGGGCAGCCAACCCAGCTGGGAGTTTCCGAAATAGGCTACCCAAATATAGAAACCTAAATTGTCGGATCCTTATTTATAAGGACCCCCGAATAAGGTACCCCTAATTTTCGGAAACTCCCGGCTCCCCATGGCAACGACTGTACATGTCCGCTGGCCGACCCATTTAGCGTTCACGGCTCGTGTTTTTGTGGGGACGGCTTGGAGTGTGCGCTCCACGATGGTCAGACACCCAGGTGCTCAAAACTATTTAAAGTCATTTGATCGCAGATTGAGGCGTGGACTCTTCCGAAGGCCTTTGCCAACGGGGCGGCCGCAGTTCCCGCCAGGATCCCAATAACCATCACGTAAAATTAGGAACTGCGGGCCTTCCGAACACAGGTCCTTCGACCTTCGTTGCTCCTGGTCGGGCTCTCAAGCACGATCACAGAGATAGAAAGAGAGCAAACCGAATCCAAACCCAGAAAGCAATAGGCTATTCTTGAAACGTAGGGTCTGTTGATAATGAGCTAACCAGGGTTCGGAGGTAGCGTTTTTTGAGTGGCATTGTCCCGAAACCCTAGGCCCTAAACCTTACAATTCCCAAACTCTGATCCGTAAATCCGCTTCGTAAAGCGTATGTAAACCCTATATAAACCCGAATGCCTAAACCCCTAAACTCTAAACCCTGAACCCTTGGCGTTCTGGTCCATCTCAGCAGGCACTCATCTCGCACCCAAGGGAGCTGATACCGCCCTTCACCCACCAGATGATGAAGGAGGCCTGCTTCGGGGGGCTTAGGGCTTTGGGATTAGGATGCAGGGATCCGCACTAAATCCATGAACCATTAGCCTCACACCCTGAATCCCAAATCCCTACCTAAACTCCCAAACCTCTAAGGCTTAGTGAAAGCCCTTTCCCTAAGACCGCGAAGCCCTCCAAGCAAAAGACTGTATGTACGCTTCTTGATTAGGAAGACTATTCCTTCGGGTTCCCACTTATAAGCACACAAGAATTTATGCCAAAACCCTATTCAAATGATTTTTTCGATTACTTAGGCCCTACAGTAGAAGCCTAAAAGTTGGAAACCGTTACCTCAAACCTTACGAGTAATGTATTGGGAATCCCAGCACTATTTGGCCTGAATCCGGTTTCCAACTTCATGGGGTTTACTGTAGATTGCACTCAAGCAACCTGGTGAGGGTTCAACGTGGGGGCTTGTGGGGTTTTGCCGAAAGGTGGAGGGTATAGAGGTGTTGTTGGACGCGAAACCATGTGAGGCGCAGGAGCGCATGGAGGCCACCTGGAAGGAGATGCAGCGAGCAGAGGAGGCGCAGAGATAGGTCAGGTTTTGCCGCTGTTGGGGAACAGGGTTTAGGGTTGGGCCTGAAGGTTCCAGCATATTGTGAGTTTCCTCTGGGTTCTTGTTAAGGGGCTTAATTTAAGTTACCATGATACGGAAACCTTATTATTCACTATAGATCCCTATTATGGTAGCTTAAATTTTGTTCCCTTAACAAGAACCCAGTTCTGCTGTATTGCATGTACGAGGTAATGTGTGATCCTTTGTAACTCGGTCCGCAGATGGTTAGGACTCGATTGCGTTTCACTCATCTCGTGGAGAGTTCATACCCATCAGAGCATGCAAGATTTAACATCCGTATCACCGCGTGGCCATCAGCATCTTAATGTCCCTGAACCCCAAAAACTGAACCCTAAAAATGACTCTAACGATAGCACATTTCAAGTTCTTCCGTGATTGCTTCACTCCCAACAACACCCCCAGTAGGGTTTGACCTCGAGCCGGATCACCACCGCCAACACCATTATGTGGGCCTTAATTAATGATTGCCTATACTATTTTGGGGGTTCTTTCTTATAGTTCAAGTATACTGGCGCCCAAAACCTATTCTACTTATTAAGGCCCCTATGTTATCACCGTTGCCGGAATTTTCTTAACGATGCTCATAAGCCTACTGGTAGTTCTTAACGACGGTCATATAAATGAAGCCCTATGCGCTAGTCCCTAATGATGCTCATCATGAAACCCGAAGCCCTGATGGTCCTCATGTTCAGCGGGCAACATCTTCCCTCAAGGCCCTGAGTCTCGCACGCCCCAAAGCCTATGCCCGGAGCCTCAAACTCGGAGCCCTACTAAAACCCCAAAGGACTGGGCTTTGGAGTACCATACTTTAACACTTTTTTCTTGAAAGGAACCATTATGAAATAACAGTATACATTCTTTTCTCCTTGGTTGCTCAAAAGCCCAGAGAACCTTGCAAACTCTTGTAGAACTCCGAGACATCCCTCTGCAACTCTGAGCAAAAAAATTGACCACCCTAACCCAGACCCCCCGGAGGGATCCAAAAAGTAGATCCCTCAATGGGGGTTCCTGTAAAGTACCCTTAGTAGTATAGGGCCCCAAATTAGGGGATCTACTTTCTAGATCCTCCCGGGGTCTGGGAAACCGTAATCGTGCCAGGAGCTGAAGCGTCTGCAGCGAGAGGCGCCCCCCGCTCTCTTTACGTCTTCCCAGGGATTGATTTGGGAGTTTCCGAAAATTAGGGGTACGTTATTTGGGGGGTCCTTATAATAAGGATCCTACTACTTAGTCAGGTACTATATTAGGGTCCCCTACTTTCGGAACCTCCCACTTGACTAGTTTTTAGTGGTTTCTGCATTGTCTAGAAGCCCTAAACCCTATAGCCCGAAGGAGATTTGACTGCAAGATCAGGGTTTCGTGTTCAGGGAATCCATTAGGGTTCCGAGGGTCTGTTCCAAACGAGGTCATCCTCGTTCTAACAACTGAAACTCTTGGTGGCTGAGTGGATGCACTTTACACTTTTGGGGATTATATTACCCACTATAAAACCCTAAACCCCAAACCCCTAAACCCTAAACCCCAAAATGGCTACGGCTCAAGCCATTTTGGCTCAAGCGTTTGGCTTAAGGTGTTTCCTAGGTCCAGGCCTTTGGCGCTCGTCGTGTAACTGATCAGCCGGAGGTTCGCCCCGTTCACTTGCGCCTTCTACGTGGGGTGCCAGCTTCTGACTTACCTGCTCGTGGTCCCTTGGCAGACCCAGGTGCTTCTCGGCTACCTGCTTCTCCGCTTCCTCGTCCTGACCCGGGATGGCCCCTACACCGCCTCCCTCCCCGACTGAAGTCATCCGCGATGACGATGATGATGAAGAATTGGAGTCGGTGAAAGAGGAAGAGCTCTCCACCAACAACGAAGGGGATGTGGGTGGCAGCAATCGGAGGCGTGATCCCATGCCGGTTGATGCTACTGGTGGTAGTCCGGGTCGTGGAAAGAGATCGAGGGATGCCCAACTTGAAGCAGATGGCCGACCTCGCCGTACTGGTAGTGGTCGGGACTCCAGGATGAACGGCCGGGATGCTGCTTCACTTAGTGCTGGGCCTGATCCTGCTCCTGCCCTTCCTCGGGATGCTGAACTACCCGTCACCGCAGGGGAGCTTCAGAGGTTGCTCCAACTTCACCTGGGTCCCCTTACTGCCTCGTGGACAGAGATGACGGGACGTGTGAAAGACCTGGAGGATGCGAGGGATGCCAACAAGAACGAATTTTCGTCTCTTCATGGTCGTCTTGCTCGTGTTGAACAAAAGGGGGCGACTATTGAGACGGATGTTGCCAAGCTTGCCAAGGATGTCGAGGACCTGAAGAAGAAGGGGGTGGCGTGCTCTCTTCCCCCCGAGACTGGTGGAGGAGATCCATGGGCTGCATACCGAGCGAAACATGGTCCTGCACCTGGGATGGCTTCGGCACCTGGCCCCTCTCGGAATGCACGAGAACCTCCGCATGGTACGCCTGGCCCCGCTTCTGGAGTGGCAGGTGAAGAGTTGTCTGAGGAAGATAAAAGGACCTTGATCATTGGGGGGTGGGCGCAAGACTCGAAGAGGCAGGTGATCATCGATGAGTGTGCTGGTTTCCTGGGTCGTGCTGGTGTTGCTGGGCTTGTCGATCAAACTGCCATCACCGTTTGGGGTCCTCGCCGGTCCTTTGGGGTCTTGAAGTTCGTGATCAGAGATGGGGAGACGGCCAAGGATGCTCGTGACAGGATGTGGGGCGTGATCCAGGCTGCCAGGGGTGAACCCTACTACCTCGACTCCACTGCTGCCTTGGGAGAAAAGAAGAAGTTGTGGTGCAGCTTCACGAAGACCAGAGAAGCGAGACGACGAGGAGCTCATGGTTCCATGCTTCGCCGTGTATGTCTTGGGATGGTCGTTGATGCTGCCCATGCCGGAGAAGCTCACAACATTGTGGCCAAGACAGAAGGTGCCTATGAAGTCGACTGGGGATCTGGCACCGTGTGGGTCGGAGAATGGAAACTCGGGTCTGCCACTCACCGTATGCCCAGGGGCGAAAGCATAAAACAGCTCAGCTCCGGGTGGATCGACCTGGACTCCATCTCGCGTGCAACAGGGGTGGCCTTCGACGTAGCGCTGGCCGCCTTCGAACGTGAACTGTGACAGGAACAAGCACCTGGTTTCACCAATAGCCTCGAGCTGGGTGACTCGCCAAGCGAACGCTTACCTCGGGGTGCTCCACGTCCTGATGCTCGACCGTCAATGAGGGTCTTGAGAAAATTTGGGTCGTGGAATGTGGCCGGCCAAAACTTGACGAAAATCGACCTTGTTGCTGGTTCCTTTGACTTGCTTGTAATTCAAGAGATGCCTCGTGGAATTGTCGGATGGGATGAACACAACACTGACAACTTTGTGTGGTTTTCGCATCAAGGTGCTGATCAGTGGAGAGGTGTTGGAATTGGGGTAGCTCGTGAACTTTTCGACTCCATCACTGACAAGATCTCATGTGGAAGAGGAGCTGCTTGGGTTGTCCGCCTTAAGAGTCACAAACGTATCGTGCTTTGCTCCCTTCATTGTCCTACTGGGGTGACCGTCGCTACTTACCATCGTGATGTTACCGCCTTCAAGCAGATGCTGCGTAGATGGCATCCTGATCTCCCTGTCCTTGCTGGGGTGGACGTGAATGAAGTTGTTCGTTGGAACAGTGAAGATTCTGAAGAAGCGACTATCTCCTCTGGGGCGAAAGTTGACAAGACACTTGAGGCCATGGCTTCTCTCCATCTACGTGCCGTACCTCCGCGCCTTGCTGACCGTGTCTTGCCCACCCACTACCCGAGAGATGAGACGAGGGAGGGACGCCACATTGATGCGGTGTTTAGCCGTCGCATTGGGATGGGCAGTATTACTCTTCGTCCTGAGATGAGATTGGAGATCAACACGGACCACGCTCTACTTGAAGCACATGTGGAGATCCAGAAGTGTCGACCATGCAAGTGGTACGACAGCAGGCCGCGATGGGTCATCGGGGATGAGCCGCTTCCTGCTGTCAGTGATTTTCAGGATGTTGAGAAGCTGGCTGTGGATAGGTGCCGTGCTCGTCAGAAGTGCTCATACCAGGATGACGAAGTGGTAAGGGGTTTGATCTCAGAAGCCAAGACTGCCCCCGCCGATGAGAGGAAGGTGAAATGGAAAGCCGTACACCGTGAACGGAGACAGCGGCGGAGACACTGGCAGCAACAACGCATCACCAACATCCTCTATGGCGACTGGGATGCATACCGTGCCCACAAGGCGACCCTAAGGCGCACTGCCTGGTGGGGTGAACTCCTTACCAATAAGGAAAGTGGCCAAGTTGCGGGTGAAGTCGAACAGCATCTGGGCCAGAAGCTTTGGGACGTGGCCCGGAACTGGGATGCTGACCTCCAACAACGCCTAGGCAAACTTGATCTGAGTGAAGCCTCTCTTACGCCTGTTGACGAGATCGAGGTGGTCACTGCTCTTACAGGGATGCGCGCTCGTTCCTCCGTCGGTTGCGATAAGGTGTCTGTTGACCTACTACGACGCATCGCACTCGAACAGCCGGAAGCCCTCTGTCAAATGTGCACTGACGTCCTTCACAGCGGTGAACTACCTCCCAATTGGGGTGTCTCTCTCCTGGCCCTGCTGCCCAAGTGCCTACGCCCTCAGCAACCAGGTGACCTTCGTCCTATTGCTATGGGAAGTGCCGCTATGAAGATGATGTCCAGAATCGTCATGAACCGAACGTTTGGCCATCTTCGCTCCCCCTCGTGTTGTGCCTCGTCAGGAAAGGGAAGACAGCCCGCCGACCTCATCGGGACGTTCACCAGACTGCGGGATGTCACGAAGGAATGGCGCCTTGGCATTGTCGCCGCAAAGCTGGACGTACGCGGGGCGTTCGACTTTATTGACCGGGGCTGCGTCGCGTCCTTCTTGCAAGATCGTCTGGAGGACTCTGGGATGTCTTTCGAACTTCGCTTCCTGTTGCTGCTCTTGGCCGAAAACGTCATGGTTGGCACTGCTCCGGGAGGCAAGACCATCCGAGTCGATGCCAATCGAGGGATCAAACAGGGCAGTCCGGAATCGGCCGAGCTCTTCGGGTTGATCGTCGCTCATGAGCTCCAAAAACTCCGCCTGAGTCACCGGTGGACTGTGCCGGGCGGCAAGCTTGCCGACATTCCTGTTGACGTGGGTTGTTTTCAAGATGACATTTTTGTCTGGAACAATGACATCAAGAACCTTGAGAACAACATCGGCGAAATCTCTAAGATGTTGGCAGGCCTGGGACTCAGCCTCTCGCCGAACAAGACCCGCATCATTGCCAGCCGTCACTATAAGGGACGAAGGCAGATGACCGTCGATGGGACTGCTGTCGAGATTGCTTCACAGGGAAGCTCCATTCGTGTTCTCGGGGTTGACTTCGACTTTGACGCCAAGACGAATCAACAGAGCCGAGAAGTAATGGGTCGTATATGGGATGCCTTTCATGCCAACAAGGACATACTTTGTGGCCACGGCAGCTGGGGCGCCAAAGTTCGCATGATACGTTCTCTTCTGGAAGGGACGTGGGCGTGGACTGCTGGAGCCCTCCACTGGGCCAAAGACGACCTCATGATGATCAACTCCATGCAACTCCGAGTCTACAGATTGGCGTTTGGTGTTCGACGAGGCAGCCAAGAGAACTGGGTCGATTTCAACTCCAGGAGTTTGCGAACGATACGTGCCTGGATGCAAGCACAGGGGGTTGAACGTTGGAGCAGTAAGGTCTTGAGGTTGTAGTTTGCCTTAGTGGGTCATTGGTGTCGTCGTAGAGAAGGAGATCAGGAATGCATGCCGGCCCTCATGCTGGGATGGAGAGACCTCCAGTGGTGGAGAAGTGAACAGAAGATCAAGTCTGGGATGAGACATCCTGAACGCTTCTATGCCGATAATGCGGAACGTGCATTGGCCGAGACCCTCGGTCTGGAGTGGAAGAAAGCTACCGGCAACCGTGAGGGGTGGAAAAACTTGCTGCCTCTCTGGTTGGAAAGTCAAGATGTTCGCTGGACCAGGGGTAGGCAACCTGCACTGTCTGGCCGCTAGTGAGTGACTTTGTGTACCGCCTGTTGCGCATGTGGGTCGTGCAGCTGTCTGATGAAGCCGGTGACATGGGCTGAAATGGCAGTTTCCTGCTCGAAACATGACATGCGCGAGTTGTACAACAAGCTCTCAGTGAACCTTTTCTTGAATGTTGTGTACTACATGCAGATACTTCCTGGGATGATCTACTTTTCTAGTCCTGTGCGCACTTCAATTCGCTTCGCGATGACTCGCTTCATGGTTGTCCCTGTGCTGGCCGCCGCGCTGGGCTGTCTACTTGGTCAGCTGGTTCAGGGACGTCCTCCTCCACAACGAGCACAACGACTTGAGACAGTGCCCGAAGACCTCGAGGATGGTGATGACCGCGGGAATGGATGGCCAGAGCCTCACCCTGAACCTGTCGCTGACCCTGTTCATCAGTGGAACAATGAGTGGCCTGGGTCGTCTACACACCATGACCTGGGGATGGGTCAATGGAATCCATCGTGGAGTTGGTCTTCATGGGGTGGCTGGACCGATGATCGTAGCTGGCAGGAATGGCACAACCGTGGTGACTGGGAACCTACAGGCACTTCGTGGACGGGCTCTTCCTGGGATGGTCGTGGATGGCAGGATGGAACCGGGTGGGGATCTTCATCGAGTTGGTCATGGCGTGAACCTGCTTCCGACTGGCATGGCCGGACTGCTGCACCCACATGGGATGACCAGCCACGTGCCCGTCTTCGTCCTTCGCGGGATGTACCTCAACAGCGAGCTGAACCTTCGGGACAACCCCAACAACGAGCTGAACCTTCGGGACGTCCTCAACAACGAGCTGAACCTTCGGGACGACCTCAACAACGAGCCGGACTAACAGGACAACGCCAAGCCCAAGGGCATCCTGCACGAGATGATATGAGGTTTTTGTGGGTTCCTGGTTGGGGACGTGGCGCTCCTCTCCTTCCGCCTGACCGTAGGGCCGAAGGTTTCTACCGAGATGGTGACTGGGTTGACCGACCGCGGACCGACTGGGAGGAAAGATGGCAACGAGGAGGAGGCGGCGAACGGAGAACTTCTCGCCGTGATGACCGCCAAGCACAGTGGTTCCAAGGGACGTTCCGGCCTGCCGCTTTCACAAGGGCACAGGCTGCGGGTGTGACGATCGAGGACAGCATGCGGGACTACTTTCGTGACCTTCTTCGACGTGCTGATGCTCCCTTTCCTGGTGCCTCCTCAGCCAGTAGTGCCCATGGTGGGGTGGAACAGAACAACGACATGGTACATCAGGTTTGGTCTTCTGGTTCAGATGGGACGTGGCAATCACCATGGTGGACAGCTGAGCAATGGAGAGAGTGGGGCCGAGCCCAATGTCGCAACATGGGGTTTGATGGTACTCATTTTTCTGTGGACTGGTCTGGACCAGGACTGCCAGACATCGAAAACTACGTGAACATGCTCAGGGTTGGGACCACCTCCTTTTGCCGTGAACCCTCAACGAGTACTACAACGACCTCGTCCACTTCGTGCTCCTCGACACCTACGACATCACTGACGACCTCATCGCTTCCAGCTACGACGTCACAGACGACCTCATCCCCTCCGGTGGCTACCGATGAAGTGGTTATGATGCAGACTGGGGTGACTGCACGCCAAACGGGAGGAGAACAACAACCTGATGGAGAACATGAACCTGATGGAGACGATCCAAACAATGAGGAACGAGGACAGGGTCGGAACCTCGACGATACCACTGCAGGGGATGCAAACATCCAGCCGAACTTCCTGCTTACACATGATGAGAGGGATGAACTCCTGGAACTGGGGTGGGATGAGGGGACTGTCAATGACTTGAGTGAGTTCTTGTCTTACCTGCAAGACATACGTGACCGCGCTGGGGTGGAAGCTGTTTCCTGGGCTCTTGGTCAATGGGCTCACTCGCTGATCCTGTCGGAGGCCACGCTGGACCTCGTGCAGGACGTTCTTTTTCGTCGTGTACAAGGGGCGGGTGAACAACGACCTGATGACCTTGGGATGAGAGGGAGATTATGTGTGGGCTTCGCTGGCTTCCAGAAGGTGCTTGGGGCGTTCCACCTTCGCATCGTACAACGTCTTCTACAAGATGTATGGCTGGAGGCAGCTGATGTTGGAGATCCACCATACCTTCCTCCTCCTGGAATGGTCATCCATGGGGTGACTAATACTGCCGCTTTGGCAGTGGACACCGCGAGAGCCCGCGCTCGTGCAATGATCGAGCGAGCAAGACAGAACCGGGGTGTTACACGTGAAGACCACGGAAATTTGGGACGTGAAAGAAGAGGTGGCGGTGCTCGTGGTAGTGACGACGCTGACCCTCGGGAAGATCGCGATGAAGGTGACGAAGCAGCCATGATGCAGATGACAGCGGATGAAGAACAGTCGTTGGACGACCTGGGGGTGTGCGATGAGTTAAGACGTCGCCTTCGTGATCTACTACGTGGACTTGAACTTCAGGAACAAAGGGACGTGGGCGCCGAGTACCGCTGGGGTGTTCAACAGCTGCTGGTGGCCTCAGAGGGTGCACAGGTGGCCGCGCGCGGGGTGGAGCGCATCCTTCGTGACCGAGTTCGCCCTAGCCCAGCAATGTGCAGCTTCCCTTGCCAACGTGTGCCGCCATATGGGGCGTTGCGCAGCCGCGTGTCTGCTTGGATGTCGGAGTTTCAATACCTCCTCGTCTCGACGTACCAGAGAGAAATGGAGACTGCGCTCCGCGAACTGACGGGGTGTCCCGCCGCCAACGAGGACTTTGTTGGACCCGTGCTGGATAGGGATGAACTCCTTCAACGACCTCGCGGCACTCGGGACGTGCCACGTGGGAGTCGCTCGCGCTCGAGGAGCCCGCTACGTGGGATGAGCGCTGAACGAGCTGAACCTGCTGTACCTGGGGATGGTGCAGTACCTGGTGTTCTACCTGGCCGTGAAGATGTTCCTGGTGCTGCACCTGTCGATCTACCCGTTCCTGAAGGCGGCCCGACACCTGACGCTCCCCCTGACCGTGGAGTTGCTCCTGGCGTTCTACCTGGTCCTGATGTTGGCCCAGGTCAACACGACTGTCCTAGGGAACTTGGTGAAGCTGGTTCCCCTGGTGCGGCTGTTCCTGGGGGTGTACCGGCTCTACTGGCACCTGCTCTGCAACCTGAACCAGTAGAACCTTGTGATGCCGGCCCTCCTGCCTGTGGTTCTCATGTTCAGGGAGGTGTAACTGCTCTACCTGCACATGCTCCCCCAACTGACACGAGCACTACTACCTCTGATGGGTTGGGCGAGCCGGTGGTGAGTTCTGAACCAACCAGTGAGATCGTCTGATCAGCCATAAGTTGGGTCTAAAACTGATCAGCAACAACCCGAGTCTACATAATCGCCTCGTCGGGATGTATGCTGATGTTCTGTGTGTCTTTTATGAAGATGTGCAAGCCTCTATGAGGCAGGCCCTGCTGCTACAGAAAAGGTCCGATGCACTTTAAAAAAAAAAAAACCCTAAACCCTATGAACACTTTTGGGGGGCTTATGAACTCAGCAACTAAGAACTTGAAAGTGGGCCTCTCAGTCCCTTGCCTAGTAGTAGAGCAGGTAACCTTTAACCTTTTTCGGGCTAATATAGTCCCTATATAATCCCTATATAACCAAAAAGGTTAACCTTTAGTTCCCCATGCTGCCCGACGAGTAGGCTTAATTGGGGTTCTAAAGTATGTGTGACCATAGTTGCTTTACTTCTGCGCCCGCCTATTGAGTTCCAGAGATCCTCGAGGTATGTAGCAAAGGCCCGTCAAACCCGAAAGCGAAAAGTAGCTAAACACCGTAAGCCCCAACAAACCTCAACCGCCAAACCCCTATAGAACTCTCATAGAAAGTCTAAACTCCAGCAATCCTAAACCCCAAAAGTGCCATAGAGCTCTTATTGGAACGTCATACATATCGTTTTGGCACCCCCCTTAACCCAAACAGCCCGAAATCTTCAAGGGAACTCCAGAAAGTTGGAATAATGTTTCAGGCTAGGATACCTTATAATTTACCATAAAGGGCTTAAGATAATCATATTCCAACTTTCTGGCTTTTACTTTAGACCCAAGAGGCCCTCAACCCAAAACTCCCCCCTCTTTTGAACCTCCTGCGCAGCCGCCCTCGCGTCCCCAGAGACTCCAATACCCTTTAATTAAGGAATATTCCTTAAATCATATTAGGGATCCTACTAGAATTTAAGGTATATTCCTTAATTAAGGGGTATTGGAGTCTCTGGGTCGTTCCAAAGGCCCAGGAAGCCGCGGACGCAGCGCAGAGGGCTCGGATGGAGAAGGAGGTCGAGCAGGCGCTCTGGGGGGTCAGGATTTCAGGATTTTAGGGTTTATAATTAGGTGCTATTCGGGCTTGGGGTTTTGGGGTTCAGGGGTTTAGGGATTTAGGGTTTAATCTAGCGGTTCAGGATTGAGGGTTTAGGTGCTCTGGGGCGCCTTTGGAAGGGCCGTTCAATTGAGGGACCTCGGAGTTTCGGATTTTAGGTTTTACTTGGAGGGTCGAGGGATTTAGTACGTAGTTGTTATTTAGACTTATAAGTACCTTAATAGGGACCCTAATTGGGATTTTGGTACTTATAGCTCTATAAAAATAAATACTTACTAAGTCCCCTGCCCCTCCAAGTAGGGTTTAGGTGCTGCGGGCACCTTTGGGGGGGATTTGGAACTTTTGGCTTTGGAGTTTTCTCTGGGCTGGCCTCCTTTTTCGGTTTTTAGGAGCAGATGCTCTGGGCTCCTTTTAAGGGTTCGTTGAAGAGGTCTGTGCAGGATGCTATAGGATTCTATAGGTGTCTGTAGGTTTTAATTACTGGGGTTTTATAGGGTTGAGGTGTTTTTGGGTTTAGTGCTTGAGAATCTTTGCATATTCTATAAGGAGGCTGGGTCGTCATTCTTGTTTCAGTAAATTGTCCATACCATTGCAGACCGTATTGCCTTTGACCTCGCTGTCCCCCCTTTCTGCGTCTGCCAGGACTAACCCTACTCCCTAAACCTCTATTAAATGGCTACTGGATTGTGAAATACAACCAGTGGAGCCTAGTTAGGAGCCGACTCGGGCAGGCGCACAAAGAAGGCCGTCAACCTAACGTTAAAGCAAAACCTCTATTAATTGCCGCGAAAGAAGCCCCTACATTCCCGGAGAAACCCCAACCCCCCCCCCCCCGCCCCCCCCATAGTCCTCCAATTTCAATTCCTAGACCTCAAGCCTTTTGAACACATATCCTAGGCCAAAAAATCCCCAACCCTCCATTCCTCAATTATTACACCCTCAGCCCGAAATTCGATATGCGAAATCCTTTTCAGCTCGAAATCTTATATTCTGCGAGATCCTTTTCTTCTTGATAGCTGAGTAGGTAACCTTTAGCCGTTTGGGGTTTATATAACCCTACCATAGCTGGAAGGTTAACCTTTTTGGGGCTAGGGTACTCAGACACTAAAAGTCCTAAAAGGAAGACCGAAATCCTAGGATTCCTCAAGTAACAATGAGCTTTGGAGTTTCGGAGCCCGGTTTAGGGTTTAGGGTTTACCCCCCTCGGAGCAGGCGAGGATCAAACGCCGTCAAGCGGAGGCTCAGTGTTTTTCGATTTGGTAGTTTAGGTTGTCGGGCATTAGGGTTTTAGTGTTCTGGGTTTGGGGTTTACGGAGTTAGGTTCCACGGTTTTTGAGATTGCAGTGCTTTAAAGTTTGATGCAGAGTTCAGGGATTAGGTTAGAAGGGGCCGCCACCCTGTAATAGTGGTATCATAGGAATATAATAATTAGGGCCCTAATATAATCCTTGTAATCACTATTACAGGGTGGGGGCAGCTTCTAAGGTTTAGGGTTTAGGCAGTTTTTTTAACAGTGCTTTTGAGGTTTTGGTGCTCTAGGTTTGGGTTTTTTTCCCAACCCGTACGGCTGATGGACAAAATCCTGCATTATCCATGATAAGGAATATACCATAGTTCCCATAGTTTAGAGTCCTTAGGGTCATGCAGGATTTTGTCCATCAACAGTATGTCACTGCAAGGGTTTCTATCAGCGTTCCTGTAGAACTTCTATCAAAGGCGTGGGTTTTGAAGTTTAGTGTTTAGGATTGAGGGTTTCGGGGTTCAGGTTTCAGGGTTTAGGGTTGTGTAACAGTTTACGAAGCTTCAGGGGGATTCTCGAACCTATGTTGTATATGAGATCCGAGAGGGCTCTGCGTCAAAGTTTTGTTTCATAACACCGGCTTCTGGTATCTTTTGCTGTTTTCATGCTCAAACAACCAACCCGGCAGCATTTCAACAAGTTCCGAGAGGCTACAAAGTTGACAGGCTGGAGTGGGTCCGAACCCAACATCTGGAAGGATCCATTTTGAGGATGTTAATCTCCTATACTGCTGGATGCTTTCCAGGAAGCCGTAAGCCCTTATTGACCCTAAGCCTTAGCCCTATGCCCTGATGCAAGCTTCAGCCCGTAAAGCCCAATCCCTAGACTGACATCCTACTGTTGATGGACAAAATCCTGCATGACCTTACGGACCCTAAACTATGGGAATTATGGTATATTCCTTTTAATGGGTAATGCAGGATTTTGTCCATCAACAGTAGGGTGTTGATTCTTCTTCATTGTACTGTACTTTACTACACAGCACCGAGCGGGATGTTTCTACTCTCTTGGTGGTCTGAGTCGCTTAGGAATTTCTTTCCATCTTTGCTTTGACACAAACCCAAGTGGTTATTAACACACACCTCCTAAACCCTAAACCCTAGAATGCCCTTTAAGGATCCCTTTGAAGACTCCTTTACCGCCCAGTGTTACTTCCTGCCTCACCAAGCCCCTAAACCTTAAACCCTAAAACCCTAAAACCCTAAACCCTAGCCCTAACTGAGCCATTAAACCCTAAAGCCCTAAAACCTAAAGACAAAATCCTGCATGACCTTAAGGATCCTAAACTATGGGATCTATGGTATATTCCTTATATAATGGGTAATGCAGGATTTATATCATCAGCCCTGTTACCTCCTGCCTCACCAAGCCTGTTTTGCGGGCGCAGGAAGCCTGGCAGAAGGAGATGAAAACGATCCAGGCACCTCCCAGAAAACCCAATACCCCTTAATTAAGGAATATAGCTTAACTCATCTATATGATTTAAGCCATATTCCTTAATTAGGGGGTATTGGGCTCTCTGGGGCACCTCCGAGGTCGGGTTGCCTTTCCTGTTTCAGGGTCTTAGGGTCTTAGGGTCTAGGGAGTTTAGGGGTTTGGGGTTTCTGGTTTAGCGTCTATAGGGTCTTAGAAGGCTTTGTAGGATTTCTTGTCTCAGGGTTGCCTTTCCATTCCTTTCCATTCCTTTCCTTGCTTAAGGGTCTTAGAAAACTGTTTAGGGATGTTTGCTTAAGGTGTTTACGAAGTGTTTTGCGGGCGTGTGCTTTCCCTTGGTGGGTTCAGGCTCTTAGGCTTATAGTAGAAGCCAGAAAGTTGGAATATGATTATCCCAACCCTTCTATGGTAAATTATAGGGTATCCTACCATGAAACCATATTCCAACTTTCTGGCTTTTACTTTAAGAGTTCAAAGGTTGACCGGTAGGCTTCTGGGCTCTGTTCGTCGTGAAGGGTTCTTAATAGGGGTCGAGGACCCCAAACCCTTGAATTCCGGAATGGGGGTTTCCGAAAATAGGGGTGCCTTATTTTGGGGCCCTTATAATAAGGATCCTACTATTTAGGGTACTATATTGGGGTCCCCTATTTTCGCAAACTCCCGAATATAGCCTTGGGGGGCTGTTTGGTGATGATTTAAGGAGTCTTCTGGTCATGCCATTCACGGCTCGGCGCCGTGGCATATAACCCACTCAGCGCTGGAGGTATGGAAGAAAGGGGCCCATGGCAGTTTGCGTGCGAGCCCGTCGGAAAAACTCCTGGAAACAGTGCGGCTCTCTGCAGCCAGCACTGCTGGCCAGAAGGGCAAAACCGAATGGTTAGCTGGCGCGCAGCCGCAAAGAGGATTGGAAGCGATCGCCGATCTTCCGATTGGGGATACTCGCTGACGTGCTTGCGGACGCAGCTGTCCAGCCCACTTCGCTTGGTGGTCAGGAAGACATTCTTGGAGGCCAGGGCTCACAGCACGAACAACACGGCCTTTCAGCCAAATTATGCTAGACTTCGCGCGGCCTTCCCCACATCCACACGGAAGAATGAGGGCCAGATATCAGCTTTCCACGAAGGTCAGTCGAAGACGTTGTTGCCGAAGACCACGTTCAGAAACATTAGAGAACCGCAAAGGACCCCTGAGGCAAACCAAAGCAACCCCTACGGGAACCCTGCAGGGTACCTTTAAGGGTTCCTTGAAGGGATCTATCCAAGGTTTCTTTTAAGCGATCAATGACATGAAGGGTTCCTTGAAGGTATCCTTTCAAGGTTCCTTTAATTTAAAGGATCCCGAGGTTCCCTTTCAGGGTACCTTTATCAGGTTTACTTTAACGGGAACCACGTATGTGAGCTCGCAGGAAGACGAGGACTTCCAGCGCTTGGTGGCCCAAGCGGTGGAGGAGGCAAGTTCGGACTTTGGGGGTAGAGGGTCTTGCACTTCAGGTTTTCAGGTTGGGAATTTAATTTCATTTCTTCAGGGCTGTATGTTGTCATGGGCTTTCATAGGAGTTCATGGGTGCTTCTAGGGTTTATGTGGTCTTAGTGGCTACTCCCAAGCTGCATAGGTTACCGTTAGGAACCCGTGTTTTGTTTTGTTGTCCCGAACCTAAACCCTAAACCCTAAGCTGCATACGGCACACGGGAACGTTTTTTTGTTTTGTGGGTTCTTTCTTGCTGTCCGGGCGGCGGGCAACGAGCGAGCGAGTGAGTGAGCTCACGCACCCGCGGCAACAAAATTAACACGTCGCAAACCCGCAACAACAAAAAAACGCGCCGCGTGCCCGCAGCCGAACAAACCGCGCCGCACACACGCGCAGCAAAAAACAATCGCGCCACGCAACCGCAGCAAAGAAAACGCGCCGCGCACCCACAGCAAAAAAAAACGCGGCGTGCACCCGCAGCAAAAAAACACGCGGCGCGGACCCGCAGCAAAAAAGAAAGCGCGCCGCGCACACGCACCAAAAATGCACCCAACAAGAAAATGAGCGCTCTTAATTACCGCTATTAACTCAGGGCTTATCATGGCTGCCTGCTACAGGTTTTGACAGGCTGCATATGGGTTTTGCAGGTGCTTAAGTACCTGCTATTGTTGGTGTTCGTAGCATTGCAACCGGGCTTGGCAGGGTTGGAACAGGGTTTGGCAGAGCCTGAATAATTCATCCAGATGTAGGGCTTTGCAGGTGGCTATGCACTACAAAATGTCCATTTCTTTTTAGGGCAGTTGTTGCTCCGGTGGATAATTTGCAATTGTCGTCTGGTATTAATATGTATTAATCCTACAAGCAATGTAGGGCTCTATGAGGGGAGGTTCATGGGTAGTTATAAGTGGGGTTATAAGTAGGATAGCTATAGCTCCTTACAGACATTAATCCTCTCAATCCCAGAAGCCTGAAATCTTTTGGGGGCAGTTTACTTCGAGGTTCATGGGTGATTGTAAGTAGGTTTATACGTAGGATTTCTATACATACTTACAACTGTGTTAGAGGATGTATACTTATAACTTCCCACGGACCTCCAAGTAGTGTTCCAACTTCCGCTCCCAGGCCACGGTGGCGTTTGGCAAGAAGTACGAGAACGGCTACGGCTACGACAAGGCACACTGTACTACAGGGGTCGGAGTGATGAGTAATAATATCCCCTGGTGGTCCCCGCATCATCACTCGAAAGTAAAATACCCGATAACCCTATTCCAAAGATTGAGGCCCCTGTGGTGCCTTTCTGTAAATTTTACACGGCTTTCGACTCCTAAGCACTGTAGTACCCAAACACTCTGTAATCCCTTAGTCAAGGAACCCGAAACTTAAACCCTAAACCTTAACTCTTAGCCCTACTCCCAAGCCCTCGGCCCTAAACCCACATTACTTGGAGGATCGGGGGACTTAGTACGTATGGTCACAAGTACCCGGGCTATAGGGGTTATAAGTAACTACAATGACAGTCACCCTACTTGTAATTGTAGCCGTACTTATTAAGTCCCCTGACCGTCTGAGTATTGACGCAGAGCCCGAAACCGTAGACGCTAGAGCTCTACAGCGTCAACCCTTAAACAAAAAGCCTAAACCCGACACTCCTAAACCCTAAACCCTAAGGACCCTCCCCCCCAACCCCCAGAGAATGGAGACCTGGGGTTTTCGATTACTAGGTTCATCTAAGCTAGGGTGGGCTTGGGGTTTAGGGGTAAGGGTTTAGGGAGGGTTTAGGGTTTAGGGGTTGGGAGGGTTCGGGGTCAAGGGGCCAGGGTTTATGGTTGAGGGTTCCGGGTTTAGGAGAACTGGCCAGCGCCAGGCGTCGGAGTCTGTGTCCACTGCGGCCACGACCTCTCCAGACGACAAGGATGTTCGCAGGGGTGTGTGGAATTGCAACTTGGTATTTGGAGATCAAGGTTACGGCTTTGAGGTTTGGGATTCGATGTTCAAGATGTATGTTGTACCCTAGGTATATACCCTGATTATAGCTATTGTAAACCTATCATGTAGCCCATTATAGGGTAGGGGTCCCCTTCAAGGGTCCCTCCGTAGCTTAGGCTTGACGGATGGAGTATCCTGACAGTAGCGATCCCTAGTTATCCCGAATCACAAAGGGAGCAAACACGGCCAAAACCTCCAGTCTCAACTCCTCAGCTTTATGCTACGATGTTTGACCAGTATTTCAGTATGCCATACATTGGATGCTACAAATCCTGCATTGCCTTCATGACCCTAAAACTATGGGAATAATGGTATATTCCTTTTATGCGGGATGCAGGATTCATATCATCGACAATATTGTCAGGAAGGAAATCAAATTGCAACCTTCAGGGTGCCATTGAAATGTAGCCCTGAACCCCGAAGTTGGGTCCTTAACCCTGCACTTTGAAGGGGCTTTCAACAAACGCGACAGTATATTCGACAGTCAGCTTCCAATAGACAGGCTTGGTAGCTGAGTAGGTAACTTTCAAGGTTTTGGGTTTATGTAATCTGCCATAATTGGAAAGGTTAGCCTTTTTTGGGCTAGGGCACCTAAACCCTAAGCCGTAATTCCTAAACCCTAAAACCCTAAAACCCTAAACTCTAAGAGGTTTACCTTCTTTTCATTTTGGGCCCTGGGTACTCAGCCCCTAAGTAGGTTGGTCTATGCATCCGTAGGCGTTGCCTAACATAGGGGCTTAAATAATTTGAACAGCGGTTCCCAGAGAGCCCCATACCCCTTTGAGGAATATGGCTTAGATTATATAGGGCTTCATATTATGGTTTATCCTTAATTAAGGGGTATTGGGTTCTCTGGGTTCCTTCAAAGGGTTCTGTATAAGGGCTTCTATAAGGACACTAGAGTATAGGGGCCTACATAATTCCCGTACTATTTTTTGGGTGTTCAAGTATACCGGCCAACAAAACCCTATTCTAAGCCCCTATATTAGTTGGGGGTTTTGGGCTGTTCACAAGGATGTCTTTGAGGGTTCGACCCCCGACATTACAAAAGCACGAAACGCCTGAATTGGGCGACATCGCTTCATCTAGCTCCTTATCGTATACTACCAAAGAGTTTGGGCGTTTTCGAAGGGTTTAGGGTGTGCAGGGTGTCGGATAGCTTCATATAGGATTTTCTTGGCAAGAAGGCTTCGGGTTGCTTAAGATCAGAAGTCTGTTGTTCCGCGGTCCCTGTAAGCGGGATCCTATGACTTAGGGTCTTGTAGCGGGGTCCCGTAGTACTAACTTCCGTACTGCAACATCGGCCGGAATCTGTTACCCGCAATGTCCAGACTCTGAACCCTAAACCAGTCTTGAACATCTTACACCCTGCAAGACAATCAATCCCACACCCCGCGAGCCTGAAGACATAAACCCTAAACAAGCTTGAAGCCCTAAACCCTAAAGCCTAAGCAAGCTTGAAGCCCTAAACCTTAAAGCCTAACGAGCTTGAAGCCCAAAGCCCTAAAGCCGAAAAAACAAGATTGAAGCCATAAACCTTAGACCCTAAACCCTAAACAAGCTTGAAGCCCTAAACCTTAAACAAGCTTGAACCCAGAGCCCAATACCCCTTAATTAAAGAATCTAGCTTAAATCATAATATGAAGCCATGCATAATTCAAGCCATATTCCTTAATTCCCTTATAGAACCCTTATAGATCCCTTTAAGGAGCTCTTTAAGGAACCCTTCTTTCTTAAAGGGGTCTTAGGCGCTCTGGGAAGCTCTAAGCCCTCGCCCGGCACTTGGAGGGAACTAAGTAGGTAGTAAGTAGACTTATAAGTACCCTAAAAGGGACCCTAATTGGTGTTATGGTACTTATAAGTCCCGAAAATAACCAGTTACTAAGTCCCCCGACCCTCCAACCCTAAACCCTAAACCCTAAACCCTAAACCAAAACCCTAAACCCTAAACCCTGCAGGATCGCCGCTTGTCCCGGCACTCGTCGAAGTTTGACGCCAATCACATCGCTTGGGGCCTGGGTGAAGGGGCTCCTAGGGTGAGATGAAGGTACCTCCTTTTAAGGGTCCCTTTAAAGGGATCTATAGGGATTCTATAAGGGTTTAGGGTTTAGGGTATGGGTGGTTAATTTGTAACTCCGGTTTGGAGTACCATACTTGAATACTTTTTTTGGGTACCTGTTCCTTAAAGGAGCCATTATGAAATAAAAGTCTGCACTTTTTTTCTCCCTGGTTACTTCAAAGTCCAGGGTAGCTGGGGCAATCCCAAATGAGAGTCCACATTTACTTGATCCTCAATCCTACCTACCTTCATGCCACCTGTTGAGGCTTCCAATTGTGAGGGCTGTTCGCAGAGGCCTAAACAGCTTTGCGGTTTTAGGGTTTAGATTCAAGATTTACCTAGACCCACTAAACCCTACTTTTTTGGTAGGTTCTTGTCATATACCCTAATATGGGATTTATACGGACCCTACAAAAAAGTAGGTTCTAGAGGGTAAAGGCAGGGTTTAGGTGGGTTCAACCAGGTCCAGGTTTTGCGTGGGTTCAAAGTTCAGGGCTGAGCGGTCAACCCTCAGCCCAAACTCGCCGCTACTGTTGATGATACAAATCCTGCATTACTCATAATAAGGAATATACCCTAATCTCCGTGGTCTAGGGTCAGTAAGGTAATGCAAGGTTTATATCATCAACCGTAGGATTCTGTTCTCAATGTAGGCGGCGTTTCGGGAAGACGTTTTAGATTTCCGTCATAATCCTATACACACATGAACAGTACTTGGGCTCTAAGTCCCCTGATAGCTCTAGTTATCCTACTTGTATCCCTACTTATAACTACCCATGAACCCGCAAGTAGTGCCTCAGTTTGTTTTCTTTTGGGGGCTGGGGGGGAGCGTCTCTTTTTCACGGGCTCCTCGCTCCTGGTGCGCTGCAACAAGAGATATCTGTCCGCCATTGTTTGGAATTGGGGTGTAGGGCTTTCGGTTTAGGGTGAAGGGGTTCGCAATTAATCTCGCAATTAGCTTGAAAGCCCTAAACCCTAAACCCTTGCATTCAACAGCCTATTGTTCCCGGGGGGAAAGCACTTGTCATATTGTCACAACCTGTCACTTCGTAGGGTTGGGGCAACGCCCAAACCTTAAATCCGCGCGGGACACCCCGCAGCAGTGGTGATCCTAACCGGGGTGCGCAGGGTCTATTTTTTGATTTATTTTTATTGTAATCCAGGAAATAATCCAGATATAATTAATAATAATAATAACAATAATAATAATAGTAATAATAATAGTAATAATAATAGTAATAATAATTGTAATAATGATAATAATACTAATAATAATAATATAGATGACATAGGAATCTTATCCAGGTAGGGCTCCCCCTAACATCCGTCAGAGCTTCCCCCAATTGAATAGCTATAACCCAGAGAGCCCAATACCCCTTAACTAAGGAATATGGCTTTAAAATTCTTCTATAGGGCTTAATATTATGATTTAAGCCATATTCCTTAATCAAGGGGTATTGGGCTCTCTGGGAATATAATATTAGTACTGCTTGGTGAAGCGTGAGTAAGCCGCAAAACCCCAAACCCTGAGGAACGCTTTAAAATAACTCTTATAACTAAAATACACTCCATCCTAAACCTGAACCCTAAACCCTAAACCCTAAACCTTAAGTCCTAAACCCTAAATCCTAAACCCTAAACCCTAAATCCTAAACCCTAAACTAAGCCGTAAGTTTAACAGGTGGCCAAAGCGACTTTGCGCTGACAGCGGCTCCACCCGGGATTGGGAACTCCGGGGCCGCAGAAGCGTCCGCCGAATTGGCCAGCTTGCTCGACACAGGCCCATGTGGGAGTTTCCGAAAACTAGGGGTAGCTTATTTTGGGGGTCCTAATAATAAGGATCCTACTATTTTGGGTTCTATATTAGGGTCCCCTATTTCGGAAAGTCCCATGTTATTGAGCAGGACACCGTCCCACGGCCTGAGGATCCGGCAAAGCAGGCCCGCCAGCCGGCAAGGGACCCCCGCACAAAGCGGTCCCAGCGGTCTTAGGGGTCCCAGCCGCGGATCCCCCCCAAGCCGCAGCCTTGCCGATGATGCCCAAAGGCAAGCCTCCGACCGAAGCCAACCCTCCGGGTAAAGCCCACCCCAAGCCACAAGCAGTCTCGTTGGCCAGAACAGCACGCGAGCATCAAGTATCGAAATAGGCACCGAAACCTTAAACCTCAAACCCCGAAACGCTAAGTCCCTAAACCCCGAACCCTAAACCGGTGATATGTGCCCTTTACGGTGCGCGTTCAGGTGTTTTTTCGGCTCCTGTTACGCTCGTCGTCGCTAAACCACCCCTGGACCCTACACCCCCAAACCCTAAACCCTACACCCCTAAACCCTAAATCCTAAAACCCCTAAACCCCTAAACCCTAAACCCTAAACCCCTAAACCCTAAACCCCTAAACCCTAAACCCCTAAACCCCTAAACCCCAAACCCTAAACCCTACACCCCTAAACCCTAAAGCCTAAAGCCCCTAAACCCCTAAACCCCTAAACTTCAAACCCTAAACCCTAAACCCGAAACCCTGCACCCCAAAACCCAAAAGCCTAAAACCCCTAAACCCTAAACCCTACACCCCTAAAGCCTAGAACCCCTAAACCCCAAACCCCAAACCCTAAACCCTAGACCCTAAACCCTAGCATCGCTGGTTGAGGTGAAGGATGCCAACACCACAAACCCAATCGAGGCAGGGTTTTGGGCTTCAGGGTTGAGGCTTTTAGGGCTTCAGGGTTTAGGGTGTTGAGGGTGTGGTTTTAGGGATTTTAGGTGTTTCAGGGATTTTAGGGGTTTTAGGGGCTTTAGGGGTTCTGGGTTTAGGGTCTTTGAGGGGTTTAGGGTTTTAGGGTTCAGGGTTTACGGTCTTTTCTGGCTTTGGTTGAAATTTAGAGCAAAGCCCCAGGAACCGTCGGCTCGGACCGGAAGGTTCAAGCTTTTTTCAGGATGTACACCCTGAGCCCTAGAACACCGAGCTTTGGTGGCTACGATTTCGAAACCTTAGCCTCATGTTCGAAACCCTAAACCCTAAGCTCTAAACCCCTAAACCCTAAACCCTAAACCCCTAAACCCTAAACCCTAAACCCCTAAACCCTAAATTTCGATGTTCTCACATCAAGTCTTCACTTGTTGAGGTTTTTTGTTCAGGGGCTTCGAGGCTTTGGGCTTTAGAAGCTTCATCTAGGTTAGATTTTGGGAATTTTTTATTTTCCTTATTTGGGTTTATAAGGGACCCTATATATACATATATATATTTTTTTTTTCAGGGTGTTTAAAGGCCAACCCAGTCATGTAAGGTGAAATCCTTGAGGCTTGGGAGTAGAATCCCTGCAGTCGAAATCCAATCCCTATAAAGCCTGAACTCTAAAACTCCCTCAACCAAGGAATATGCCTCAATATGCCTTAAATCATATTAGGGTTCCTATTATGATTTAAGGGTAGATTCCTTAATTAAGGGATTTCGGAAGGTCTGGGAACTCTGAACCCAAAAACTGCCAAGGCCTGCAAGCGCATGTTCCGCGCACTGCGCCGGCGTCTGGGTGCAAAGGCCCCGCCATCAGGCAAGTCTCAGGGCTTTTGGTTTAGGGCTTAGGGTTTAGGGTTTAGGGCTCAGGGTTTAGGGCTTTGGGTTTAGGGCTCAGGGTTTAGGGCTTGGGGTTTCTTGCAAGCTGTGTACAGTCAGCTAGCCCTACTGGGACATCTTTCTTCTTTGTTGGGTTTCGCAGGATATGGTAGGAGTCACAGGGACCGTTCAGCTGGGTCCAACGACCCAACCAGCAATTAATTACCTATGGAGGTTGAGGGGGCTTAGCAGGGCGTTAAGTGACTATAGTCATCTTGCTTGCACGGGTTGAGGCTTTTTCCGTTTGATGTTGCCGCTTGAACTGACCCTTGTCCCTGTCTAAGGTGTTTTGCTGTTGCTGCAGGGCACCAAGCCGGGGGCTTGAACCATATAGATAGTCACCTTGCTTGCGCCCCGCCCCCCTCTTACTACGTCCCCTGAGCCTTCAAGTCGGCTCTACCTTAAGCTACCATGCCGTATACCCGATTTGTTTGTGGGCACAAGAAAGCAGGTTTCGGTAGGTTATGGTAGTAACCTACTTTATTATAAATCATATGAAGAAGTCATAGTTAATGGAAGGAGCCTTGAAAACGGTAGGTTTTCCAGGGTTCGGGTATTTAAGTCAACTCTACTGTAGAAGCCTAAGTGGTTGCCAATACTATTCCCTAGGGTTCCATATGTTTTGTATACCCGAAAACTTACTCTAAACTATTAGGCCCTTATGTTACCTGTACGATCTTAGAAGTCCTTTGGAGCGAAAGTGTTTTTGAGCACGCGGACCCTTAGGGTTAATGTTTGAACTTAACATACTTCATAGGTTTCCTGGCTCCGTTACTGTACTGTAAGGGGCCTCAATAGTTACAATACAATTTCAGAGGTTCCTTAAAAATCTTATAGTATAATGGTCCCCAAAACCCTATTCTGATTGTTAAGGCCCTTGTATTAGGCTTTAGGGCTTCGGGTTTAGGGTTCAGGCTTAAGGTTTTAAGCTTTCCGGGTGTTGAGATCGGAGATCCCAAGAAGGAGGGGTGGCTTTAGGGCTTAAGGCGTTAAGGGTGAGAGTTTAGGGGTTTTAGGGGTTTAGGGGTTTAGGGGTTTTAGGGGTTTAGGGGTTTAGGGGTTTAGGGTTTAGGGGTTTAAGGCTTTAGGGCTTAGGGGTTTAGGCTTTGGGGTTTAGGGGTTTACGGTTCAACGTATTTAGGGCCCGGTGCATACACTTTCGCAAGTCTCAAAAGCCAGAATTCTGCCACAAAGACCCTTAATGTAGGAGCAACAACTAGTACTGCGATTCCTGAGGGTGCCTCATTATAAGTATAGTATAACCCCAAACTGTTACTTTAAGCAAGCATTACGACAGCTGCCTTACTTAAAGCCCTACTTACTGAATCCCCAGATCCTTAAAGCCTGTAATACGCTTAAAATTCACCCTGCACAAAACCCTTTATCAAACCGTATGAGACCCCCATGCCCTAAACCGTATATCACTCCTTCCCCACCCGAATGTCCCCTTTGCAGGCAAACAGCAGAGCGCGCCAGGCTCGGGCGCATGCGAGGTTTGCCAGAGACCCCAGGACTATAAGGGGGATTTAATGCAGCTTTATAGGTTTTCAAGGTGTTCTAATGGGGTTTATGGTGCTGTCTTTGTTTCTTAAAAGAGCTTGTTATATGCACGGTTTCAAAGGGTGTACATGGTTTTTGTTCAGGTCTACAGTAAGTCTACATTGTTTTGCAGGATTCTACCTGGGTTTTGTACGGGTTCTACGAACCTGAAAATTTTCGACAGCAGGATTTACTTTCGGGCTTTTAATTCACGTCCGACTTCATGTGCCCCGTGCTTCGACGTTTCCGGGCTTAGGGTTTGGTGATTACGGGTCAGATATATGCAGTCTTTCAGTAAAGTCTCAAGATTCCCGGGGTTTTGGGTGAGTTTAGGCCCTTCTCCAAAGTTCAAGTGTTCTCTAAAGTTTTAGGAGAGTAGATTCGGGCGCAGGGGTCAACATTGCAACAGGCAACAGTGAGAAGAGCACCCAAGAAAGTGTCCCTCTCGCTATAGGCCGTCGTGACTTACGAAGCCCTACATCCTAAACCCTGAACCCATTCCGTTTAAAAAACAATCCGATATCCTAAGCCACTAATTATTCAGACCTCTACATTGTGGGGCTGTTTACATGGTTTTAGACGCCCGACAGTTCTGGTTCTCCGTAGGACGCTTCCCGATGTGGTTGTGTGGGGATCTGAATGGTTGCTACCGCGAATGGCATCCCCTCATAACTTATAATCCCTACTATAGATGTGCCCCTTGAATACTTTTTTGGGGTACCTGTTCCTTAAAGGAACCATTATGAAATACAAGTCTATACTTTTTTCTCCCTGGTTAGTTCAAAGTTCCTATACAGTACCCTTAGTAGTATAGGGCCCCAAATTAGGGGATCTACTTTCTAGATCCTCCCGGGGTCAGGGTAGTTGCTATTCCAACTGCAAGCCTCAGATTGAAGATCTTTCCGGGTTTGGGGGTCCACGCCCCAATTTTTATGCAGCATTGTCCTAGTTCTAGACTAGGTAACCTTTGGAGTACGTTCATTTCTATATTGTCCCAATAGACTCCAAAGGTTAACCTTTGATAGGTTGTTTTGTGGTTCCTTCTTCTCTACCACCTTCGCCTGTTGCCAGCCCTTCTACCTGGCACGCCGCGAAGCGGAGACAGGCCTGTGTCTGTTACATGCCCTAAACCCACCACCCCAGCACCCAAACCCCAAAACTCTGCAACCCAACCCAAACCTTAAGCAGACTAGTGGTCTAGGGTTCAGGCCGCCGGAAAGAGCGTCAGCGAATGTGCGTTTTTGAAGAGTCTTATCACTATGTCACACATTTCAAATTCTGATAGCGAGGATGTGATATATGGTTGCAGGAACACCCACAGCTAGACACGAAGCCTTCCTGACCATTCAGCTGGACGCTCAAGACCTTGAAAGACTGGGTCCCCAGTAGTTCTTTCTGGGTTTCCTTATCAAAACCGAAAAGTGGGAAAAGGGTACCCTTATCATGATTTGGGGCCGACTGGGGAACCGAGAGGATACGATCAGGATTTATGTCGAAGTGCAGGGTTTAGGGCTGGGGTTTAAGGCACACAGTGTATGGTAGGGTTTCCATAAAGTTGTATATTAGTTTCTAGAATGTTTGTAACGTCAACTTGTAGGTTCATGGGTACAAACCCAGAGGCTTAACTCACGCCGCCAAGCCCTGAACTCTCACTCTGTCTTCAGCCTTTCGATAGAGCTTTCTAACTGTTAAAGAAACAAACCCTAAACCCTAAACAAAATGATGTTCGTTTGGGCTTAGCGTCTAAGTCTGAGCCCTTATGGCATGACAACCCTCACGTTCCTTTGGGTGCAAGGATGATCAGAGCTCCCTCCATGACGGCCGACAAGGGGTGCGCTCTCCTGATTCGTGTTTGGGATTTCGACGTTGAAGGTTGTGCTGCCCTGCTTGATGGAGGACCCCCATAGCAAGCACAGTACCCTTAAGGGGAGCCCCTCTTCTGGAATCCCATACTACCCTAAAGACAAGGCATGTCGATGAAGACACCTTTTTTGAACAGGTCCTTATAGAATGACGGGGATATATAGGGCCCTGTCCATCTTCCTCCAAATCACAAATGCTGTTGTGCTTGAGGGTGTACCTAGAGGCTCATACCCTACCCCTTTCTTAGGATACCTAGTTTTATGGCTAGGATCTGCTATCTAAAAAAGCAGGCGCCCCTAAACAAGGGGTAGGGTATGAGCCCCTAGGTAAGGCTTCAGAAGCTCAGAAAGGACTTAACTTTAAAAGCATCCCGGTTCAGGGCTTCAGTTCGACTGTTGAGGATATAAGACCTGCATGACCCATAATAAGGAATATACCCTAACTCCCATAGTTTAGGGTCCTTAAGGTCATGCAGGATTTATATCATCAACCGTATGGCTTCCGGGTTGAAGGTTTAGGGTCGAGTAGGGTTTCGGTTTTATGGCTTTGCGTTTAGGCCCTTCGTTGTGCCAAGCCCTGGGGGTCCCAATTACAACTCCCGCGCATCTGCGGAGGTAAACTGCTATGTGGGTTATCCCGGTAAGTTATCCCTCTTTATGTGGGTGGTTGTCAAAATTATGGTCCCTTTTTGGTCCCTCTTATCATACATAATATTTAGGGTACCCAAAAAGGGCCCTAATTTTGACAACCGCCCATGTGTGTCCCTGCTGGCTGGCAGCCCTTGTCACCGAAATCCCACCTTCCGTGGGCTCTCTGCGACTGCGAGCTGCTGCTCCTGACCTTGAGTCGGTTCGTCCAGCAGAGTGGGGGCACCCAAAGTACCCAATACCCCTTAATTAAGGAATATACCTTAAATCATAAATTAAGGCCTCTATAGTTTAAGGTATATTCCTTAATTAAGGGGTATTGGGATCTCTGGGCAGATGCCTTCTTCGGCAAAAACACATACGCTTCTTCCGACAGGTCAGCAATTTCCATCAGCTGCTAGCATGCCGCGCACCATGTCTGGACAGTACCCCTTAGTAACCCATGATTCAAAACTACTTTCCGTTTAATGGACAGGCATGGTGAGGATAATTTTCAGGAAATGTAGGATCACGGCAATGTGGCAGCCAACCGTTTGAGCGAGAACTGTATTTGCTCGAGATCGCTGCGCAAGGAAGCCACAACCCCAGAGAGTGGGTAAGTTTGACTACTATAGGGGCCTTAATGTCTTAGAAGAGGGCTTTGAGGCCCATGGTTTTAGTAAGGAACCCCGAGAATAGTATTGGTAGCTATTTGGGCCCTCATAGTATATAAGCAACTACCCAAGACCCATGGAGCTTTAGGAGTCCCCGAAGCTCCTCCTATTTGTTTATCACTCAAAACTTCAAACCCCTGCCAGGTTGGAAAATAAGGGGGGACATACAAGCGCAAAGATTCTACCGTGGATGGTCCCAGATTTTGGGGAAGTTTAGGGCGTATGGTTTATGGATAGCGGCACAAGGTTTGCGCTGAGGGCGTGCAACTGTAGCGGTCGGACTTCTACGAAAACCTGACACTCTGAAGCCCCCAACCCTACCCTCGACCCTAAGGCCCCAAAGTAGTTCCTTTTTGGGATTACCTTATAGGATTCTATATATGACCCCCAAAAAGGAACTAAATCCTAAACCCCGAAACCCCACACGCCCAAACCTGACCTCCTCCTCAAGAATGAACTAGCAACACGACCGCACGAAGAGCCTTTGCTGAAGACGAGGGTCCCCCCCCCGCCTGCGCCAGGCAGGCAAAGGGGGCGAAGTCGCCGGAGCAGATGGAAGAGTGGGTGGAGGAGGCCTCCGAAAAATCGAATTCCTACTGCTGATGATATAAATCCTGCATGAGCTTAAGGACTGTAAACTATGGGAATTATGGTACATTCCTTATTATGGGTCATGCAGGATTTACATCATCAACCGTAGGTTCCCCCAGTAGTACCCTTTCGCCCTTCTCTTGTTGGGTTCCCACATCTTCCGGTGTGGTCGGTGTTGAAATAGAATTCCGAGATTTTTTCTGGCTTGTAAAGAGAACAGAACAGCATTCTCTCGCGGACTAAAGACTATTCCCTATAGTGCCCTCGAAATACAAAAAGCATAATATAATGCACCTCAACACCCTATTCTGACGAGTCACCTCTATTTGGGCGCCCCGGCTGGCTACAGAGCCTTTCGGCTTTGGGCGGCTCCATCAAGATCTACAAATGTACTTTCGGATATAGAGGCATCGATGTTGCGTAAGGGTGGGTTGCCAGAACCTAAACCCTAAAACCCTGAAATCCTTAAACCCCAAACCCCCCCAAACACTCAAGGCGTAAAGGCTAGACCCCAAAACCATGAAAGCCCTGAAACCCGAAGAAGCTCCGAAGAGTCTACCGAAAAAAAGAACGAACGTCCTTTTCCCGATCGCAGGCCATCCAGCAGCTCAGGGCCAGCATCGTGGAGGCCCGGAGCCCTGAATTTGTAACTCCTGGGTTTGGAGTACCATACTTGTACACTTTTTTTGGGTACCTGTTCCTTAAAGGAACCATTATGAAATAAAAGTCTGTACTTTTTCTCCCTGGTTACTTCAAAGCGGGTTAGAATTTTTCTTCCATAGCAGGCTTCGAGTGAAACAGGAATCAAAGAGCACTTTGATATGTGCGTAGATATATATATATATATACACACACACATATTTATGTATATTTGGATAAGATGTTACATATAATTAGTCATAATGGAACATAAAATATGTCATGGTTATCTTTACTTCTTGAAATTTTCTGGAACCGGGGCAGCTGCAGGCTTGTTAAAGGTTGTTGTCCGCACCGTTTGCAACAGATTGTTCTACGGCAAGTTTGTAAAGAATGCTTTACGGCTTCAAGGCTTTCGCGGACGGTTTAGCAGGATTGTTGCCGCGCGGCCCGTTAGCAAGATATTTGCCGCGAAATAGCTTTTTTCATGGATGATCAAGCTGACCAAGTACTTCTTTCTGTTACGGCAAGTTTGTAAAGAATGCTTTACGGCTTCAAGGCTTTCGCGGACGGTTTAGCAGGATTATTGCCGGGCGGCCACGTTAGCAAGATATTTGCCGCGAAATAGCTTTTTTCATAGATGATCAAGCTGACCAAGTACTTCTTTCTGTTCTACGGCAAGTTTGTAAAGAATGCTTTACGGCTTCAAGGCTTTCGCGGACGGTTTAGCAGGATCATTGCCGGGCGGCCCGTTAGCAAGATATTTGCCGCGAAATAGCTTTTTTCATAGATGGCCAGCCTGCAGCAGCCTGGGCTTGTCGAAACTTCAAAGGCGTTGTTTATGTTTCTGTGCTCACTTTATCTACATCCTTGTTCAATCGTGCGTCCACTGCCGTTCTTTACATATTTTGATTGCATTAAACTAAACACATCACTCTCTTCATTTCGTCCCCAATTCGTCCTGCCAGGCGTGAGGCAAAAATTTCGTCCCCAAAAAGATCAAATTTTTACGCAACAGGCACACTTTCACTTCGTTACATTGCTTTGTTTCATTCGATTCGTATTTTTATTCACTTCAGACTATAACACCAACCTCACAGAGGAGACAGAAGTGTAGTGGAAAATGGCCTAGAGAATCCTGTAAACCTAAAACTATTAGTTGTAAATGTGGTTTCGTTCCTGATTTGGGCCATGTTTAAACGAAGACACAGCGCTTCAAATTAACGCATTGTGTTGTGCTTTCCTGGGTCATATTTGCCATGGAATGTTCTTTGCCACAAGAGCACCTTAGAGGCTTGGAACATTACGGGCTTGCTATTCCTTGTGGTAAACAGGTTTATCGCTGCAGATATCTACGTATTTGCGATGGTCGTGAATAATGAGGACGAAGGCTTAGCAGTAGTAGTAGTAGTAGTAGTAGTAGTAGTAGTAGTAGTAGTAGTAGTTGTTGTTGTTGTAGCAGTAGCAAGAGCAGTAGCAAAAGAAGGAGTAGTACTATATACCAAGATACACACTATAGGTCGAGTCATTTTGTTGCGGGTCAGCGGTGACGGCACATTTATACTTCGTCCAAGGGCCCGATTCCGGTGTCATGGTTCGGTCGATGCTGAGTGCACCCAGCCGGAAAACAGTGGTGGTCGTGCCTGCACCCGAGATCGAGAAGGCGCAGCAGCTGGAACAGCTTAACCCGGAAATGCCATCGTGGTCGTCGCCACCCAAAACGACCACGACATGTGCAATACTTGTGCCCGCCCGGAAACGCCATCCGGCCGGAAGGGCCTCGTGGTCGTCCCCAGCGGAAGTGACCACGACATGTGCTCTCTGATGTTATGCGCGAAGCCAAAAACAGCCACTCAACCTAAGCAGGATGTCCAGGGTTTGATCGTGGTCGTCCCGGCCGGTCACGACCACGAGTGAAGATTACAAGCGATAGACGACCGGATGCCATTTCCCGGCTCAGGTTGTGGTCGGTTTGAGTGGGCGACGACCACGAGTCCTTCCCGGCCGGATGGCATTTCCGGGCAGAAGTGTTGCACATGTCTTTCGGCGCCAACGACCACGAGTCCTTTCCGGTCGGATGGCATTTGCAGGCAAGTGACCACGACGTGTGGCAACACCTCAGCTCGGAAATGCCATCCGGCTGGAAAGGGCTCGTGGTCGTCGGTGCCGAAAGCGACCACGACACGTGAAACATTGTTGCCCGGAAATGCCATCCGGCCGGAAGGGACTGCTAACCACGATTTGTCTCCGAAAAATCGACTTAGCTAAGCCGACTTTGGAGACTTAGCGATAATTCAGCTAAGCCACGAACAAAGCCACACTTGTAAGTTTGCTCAGTTTATCAATCCAGGCTAAGTCGATGACGACAGAGCCGTCCCGTAAGCATATTGGATGGTATGTGTGTTCTCGCCTTTCCTTCTCGCATTTGTCTGTTTTTTAGAGTCTGCCGCTGTGTGTACCAGGAGTCTCCTTATGCGATAGATTTGTTCGTGCTCCAAGACTCTACTGTGATCGAACTTAAAGTGATGCAGATGGAGTCTTTACGGGATTTGGTGGAAGTATTACCAGGCTGGGTACCCAGGCTGGGTACCCAGTAGTAGTAGTAGTAGTAGTAGTAGCAGTAGTAGTAGTAGCAGGAGTAGTAGTAGTAGCAGCAGTAGTAGTAGTAGTAGTAGTAGTAGTAGTAGTAGTAGTGGTAGTAGTAGTAGTAGTAGTGGTGGTAGTAGTAGTAGTAGTAGCAGCAGTAGGAGTAGTAGTAGTAGTAGTAGTAGTAGTAGTAGTAGTAGAGTAGTAGAGTAGTAGAGTAGTAGAGTAGTAGAGTAGTAGAGTAGTAGAGTAGTAGAGTAGTAGAGTAGTAGAGTAGTAGAGTAGTAGAGTAGTAGTAGTAGTAGTAGTAGTAGTAGTAGTAGCAGTAGTAGTGGTAGTAGTAGTAGTAGTAGTAGCAGTAGTAGTGGTAGTAGTAGTAGTGGTAGTGGTAGTGGTAACGGTAGCGCGGGTGGTAGTGGTAGTGGTAGTGGTAGTGGTAGCGGCAGTAGCAGTAGTAGCAGCATGAGTACCTCACAGTATGGCAATACATTTACAGTGCTTCTATTGTTGCGGAAACTCATCATTTTAACTCCCACTTCAAGCCATCAAGCCTTGCCAAGCTGCGGCGCGAACATTCGGGTGGCCCCAGCAACCAGCTCGAAGCGCGCCGGCGACATAACCTACGACTACCATATTTAATGAATACACAAACAATTGAGCAATAAGCGTATAATTATACATACATGTACATTCCCGCTTTGTTTATGTGTACAATTTTACTTACATGTCTTATGTCTATACATGCTCATATTTCTATATATGTTTATGTTTTATGTGTTTGTTTCTCTCCTGTTTCTATATATATATATATGTATACATACATACATATTTTATATGTCTATATACTGATATTCATATTTATACTCATACTATATCATATAACATCATAATATCGAAGTGCTCTTTGATTCTTCTCCGTACCTTGCGAAAAGTTCTAACCCGCTTCAAAGTCCCTGAATTTGAAAGTGCCTTCATATGGATGGTTGTCCAAATTAGGGTCCCTTTTTGGGTCCCTATTATAGTACGGCACCTAATATTTAGGGTACCCAAAAAGGGGCCATAATTTTGACAACCACCCATAGGTTTCAATAGACTGGTTGGGCACGTTATATACGTCTGCATCGGAACGGTCAGGGAATAAGTGGTATAGCTAGTTTCTCAGCCCCCTAAATCAAGGTTAGGATTCTACGGCCACATAGATCGCGGATTAAAAGCCAGGTGTCTGGGGTTCAGGTGCCAGCGGAAATCATCAGGAACGCGTGCGAGCACAGAGTCATGTTATGCATAAGGAGGAGCCGCTGTGGATTTCTTGTCTTGGGCGCGGCGAGGAAACGGATTCTAGCCGAATTTTTTGGGTTCTCAGCCCTCGCCGTACACACAAAAGACTGCCATCCATGTACAACCGTAGGATCCACCCAGAGAGCCCAATACCCCTTAATAAAGGAATCTGGCTTAAACTATACAGGGATTCATATGATTTGAGCCATATTCCGTAGTTAAGGGGTATTGGGTTCTCTGGGTACGACCCATGAGAGCCTTGTGGGCAGCAGCTTGCATGCCATGCCGAAGTCAAAGCCCGGCCATTGATTGAGAATTGCAGAGCAGAGCGTGTGAGAACGTAGGATTTGCTGCTGTTCTGTTACTGTCATTCCTTCCGCAGTCTGCATGTTCGCGACGTTGGCTAATGTAGGAACCTGATTAAGAAACTCTGGGCCCATAACCCCAAAATAGTAGGATTCATATTGTAAGGAAACCTAATAAGGACCCAAGGTTTCTTAATCAGGTTCCTACATAATGGGCCTCGTGGCGCCAGGTTCTGGAACGTTTGGGTTTTTCTGGCCAGTATACGGCTTCGGGTTAAGTACACTTAGTAGCTGAGTACGTAACCTTTTTCCTTTTGGGGTTCATATTATTCTACCAATATACTTAAAAAGTTTAATTGACCTAAACCCTAAACCCTGAACCTAGGGTACTCAGCCCCTAAGTATAAACCCTGATGGCAACCTGACACCTGATGGGGCCCTATGAAGCAGTCATGAAGCCCTGAAACAATCTCTAGTAGCCTAGTAGTAGAGTAGGTAACCTTTAACCTTTTTTGGGGTAGTATAGACCCTACATAATCCCTATATAACCAAAAAGGTTAACCGTTAGTTCCCCATGATACCCGACAAGTAGGAACCTCATTGTTCCTTGAGTATTTCTCTTTAGCACCAACAACCCCACTAAAATCCCATGCAATCTGAAAGCTCGTCAGAAACCTTGCAATCGTAGGGTCTATACGTCGCGGTGGTCCTGAGAGTTCAGCATCCCAACGATATAAAATCTCCGAGGATAATCTAATTTGAGTGCCCAAAACCTCCAAGCAGTACTTGCAGGTTGCAGGGTCAGAGTATACATATACACAAACACATATGCATATACATTGCGTGCATTTGACTATTGTCTACCTATATGTCTCGGATTAGTACCCCTATGCCGTTTTGATTTGGCACCACCTTGTCAAGGGGTACTCGAAACCCTAGTCTTCGCCATGTTAGTTCGTGAGACCTTAAGCCCCCTCAGCCATAGCTGGACTTGTTCATACAGGGTCCTATATAATTACCGCTACTACTGCGGTGGTTCCTTGTTAGTTATTCAGTAGTCATCTACCCCCAAACCCCCACATGAGAGTACCCTTATAGATGCCTTAAAGTAGCCCTTATAGACTCATATAAAGGAACCCTATTCTGATTACTAAGGCCCCTCCCACCCTGCAGTAGTGACTATAAGGATTATATTAGGGCCCTATTATATTCCTATTATACCACTATTACAGGGTGGGGGCCCCTTCTAACCTAAACCCCTAAACCCTAAACCCAAGGCCCCTATATTATCCGAGTCCCCTCTCCTACCCCTAAACCCTAAACCCCTAAACCCTAAACCCTAAACCCTAAACCCCTAAACCCTAAACCCCTAAACCCCTAAACCCTAAACCCCTAAACCCTAAACCCCTAAACCCACACCCCTAAACCCTACACCCCTTTATCCGAGTCTCCTCTCCTTCTGGGGTTCCCAGAGCCTCCAAAGCCCCTTAATTAAGGAGTATACCTTAAACTATATCAGGGATCCTATTATGATTTCAGGTATATTCCTTAATTAAGGGGTATCGGAAACCCTAATAGATCCCTTATAGATCCCTTTAAGGCCCCTTTTAAAGGAACCCTAGGTATATGAATTAAGGGGTTTTGGAGGCTCTGGGTTCGGCCAAGGTACCGAAGGCTCTGTTTGCCACCCTCGATCCCCAGGCCCGGCTCCTTCGGAGTTTGAGCTTCGGGATGTTTCCTTAGGGTTTTTTTAAATTTTGGTTATTATAATCCCTTTTTGGTTATTATTTATCCCTTTTTGGTTCTTATAATCCTTTTTTGGGTATTAGAATCCCTTTTTGGTTATTATTTATCCCTTTTTGGTTATTATAATCCCTTTTTGGTTATTATAATCCCTTTTTGGTTATTATAATCCCTTGTTGGTTATTATAATCCCTTTTTGGTTATTATAACCCCTTTTTGGTTATTATAATCCCTTTTCGGTTATTATAATCCCTAAGAAACAGCTAAAGTTATAATTTGTGCTAGGGTTCTAAGTTCAGTATAGTTTCTGTGGAAGATTGTGTCAAGGATTCCACGGCCTATGCTCGGAGGCTTTTTTCGTTTGCGCCTGGTGTTTGGCAGGGCACGTGGCGGCTGCGGATTGGGTTTGAGGTTCGGGGTCATCGGATAAAGCGCACTAGATTTTGCACAGTTAAAAAACAAATTAGGCGTCGATTTCGTAAGGTATTTTTTTTAGCAGGTTCAACATGTCGTAGTACGAACTCATTAGAACTATTCCGAAAATCTTGCGGAGACACCCTTTTTTTTGCAAGCTATAGTCCGTTGATATTGCGTACTTTCGTAAGGGTTGTTGGGCTCGAGGGGCATCCGATCCTGGCATGGGTAGCAGTACTAGCTCCAAGCCTCCGGAACGAGTCTCAGAGCCCTGTCACTATTTCCCACGGATTGTAGGGTGGTACTGCCAGTTGTGCGAACATTCATAACAGCACCAGCCACAGTACAAACAGGTAGTCGTCGTCCTTGTTGTGGTAGTAAGTCAGTCTGAGCTGGGGAGGTAGTGAGGTAGTGCGTAGTGGGGTAGTGGAGTGGGGGGGAAATAGGGCAGCGGGGTGTTGGGGTGTAGCGGCTGTGGAAGTGACATATACTGACAGTGACACTGCAGTGGTAGCAGTGGCAGTAGCAGTAGCAGCAGCAGTAGCCTTAACAGTAGCAGCAGCTGTTGTAGTTGCTGTCGTTGTGTAGCTTCTGGTTTTATTGTTTTTGCAAGGGCAGTAATGCTCTTGCATTCTTTGTTGTTCATCATGACACGATCATTGTTCCATACTCCTGAAGACTTCCCACAATCAGAGTTATGCCGAAAATCGTGAATAGTATTAGCATCTTTCAACAGTAGCATCATGGTAACCACAGTCAAATTAAATGTTCGCTGAGACAAGTTAAGGTTAAGTACACAATTAAAGCATGTTGGTGGTTTTCTTGAAATGGGAATGTCCTCAAACGGCCCAACCCGTACAACCTAAACGGTAGGATCCTTATTGTAAGGGCACCGCAATTCGCAATAGGTATCACTGTTGCCAACAGAATTCCAGGCTAGGT